CTGCAGGTTGCCCTGGCCCTGGAGCTCTACGTCTCTGACAAGCAGTCACCAGCCACATCGACCTGATCAGTGTTTGATTGTTGTGTCTTGTTGCTTTTCTTCTTTTGTCTCTCCTCTATCCACTCACCCCAACCGGTCGAGGCAGAAGGCCGCCCACCAAGAGCCGGGGTCTGTCGGAGGTTTCTTCCGTTAAAGGGAGTTTTTCCTCCCCACTGTCGCCAAGTGCTTGCTCAAGGGGGATTTGTTGGGTTTTCCCTATGTAATAATATTGATAACAGTAAGGTCTAGACCTTACTTTGTAAAGTGTCCTGAGATGACTTTTGTTGTGATTTGGCGCTATACAAATAAAATTTGATTTGATTTGATTTGATATATTGTAATTATTCCTCCACAATATCCTAGCAATAATACACACCATTAGTGCCATTAGAAGGCAAAGATGATTTGTTGTTCTAAGGAGCATTCATCTGTGACTGTCTGTCCCACCGTTTTATATACACAATGTACAAAAGTCCTTGATGCAGAGATAGGCTGCTGCTCTGCTGCTAAATGCACCACCTGCGAGCACAGCTCTGGCCTGGCACACTGTTATATAAACAGTTATGGATGGTGCAGGAACAGAGGCAACTCTGTTCATATGCTGCTGGATTATTAACATGTTTACCAAACCACCAAAAAACAGCACATTTGCAATGTTCAGCTTTAAACTGTGATTTGGTTATATGCAGCAGCTTAAAGCGACAACTCTACTTGGCACTGGTTTTAAGACAAGCTATGCATTTACTGATAAAACTAAATATGATGATATTCATGATCTAGTATTAAATGGAAACAAAATGGAATGCACTCCATCCGTTGCAAAACTGTGTCTGCACAAACTATGGTAATGTAGAATACATCAAAGTTGAATCTAGAAGCAGCTCAGCCAGATGGAGTGGACAGTAAAGCAGTTTCAATCAGTGGATTATAGAGCAAACACAATCTTGCCTGTAATAAAGCTCACCCTGTGACCACCACCCCAAAGCTTCTCTCCCAGCCTCAGTTTACTTATCTACACTGTTGTCAGTCTTTCTATCATTACCTGTCTCTGGCATCCTATTATCCATTATCTCTACCTCTTCTCCCTGCTGTTTCTCCTCTGTGGTATCATCCCACTGTCCTTCATCTGCCAAGTCGGTTGAAGATGAATCCTTTCCCTGATCAATCTCTGTCTCCTTGCTTAATGACCAGTGAGGAGCAGTATCTGGAAATCCTCAACTCTTTATCAAGCATTTCCTTGACCAGCAGCGCTAATGATGTCAACAAACACACACTGTTATCACAACCTTGGAATTACTGCAGCAGTTGGAAGCTGACTTCACCATGTGGTCTGAGCAGGGAGGTAAAGCAGAGTCCATTCTTTCAAGACCTACCTTGGAGATGTCTGCTTTTGTAGTGGTCCTTGGGTTTAGTCGGGTGCGCCCTGGCATTGCCATCACACTTTGGCTGCTCATACCTTCAAAAGAGAATACATCATGTGAGAAAATGTCAATTTATTCAGACTGCAAAAAACACTAACATAAAACTATACTATAAAATCCGAGAGGAATCCTACATTTTTCAATTACCCCTGTACAGTTAAATCTCAGGAATTCAAATAATTGTTCTGTGGCAAATCAGAGGCTGTGATGCACATCCAATAAGAGGGGAAGGATTTGGCATTAGTACGAGTACAGAAAGGGGGAAGGAGGATGAGAACAAGTGAAATAGAGTGAAAGAGGCAGACAGGGAGTGTGGGACACAAGGAAGCTTTCACGGCCTCCCTTGGAGAGCCAGAGGACTCCCAAATGCTGCTGTGTGGCTGGGCCAAAAGCTGGCTTGGGACAGGGAGAGAAGGGGTAAAAGCCACACTTCCATGTGTATACTAATGTGCTGTCTGGCACTCTGCCTAGAGCCTTGTTAATCTGATACCCAGCCTCGCTGCTCAGTAAGAGTGTACCTGTGCCCCAGTCTGCCAGCCAGACTGACTGCTGACCAGTCACTCGGGGTGTTTCTCAAGTCTCTTATATGGGTTGTCATTGCCCTCACTTCCATCTTTTCCTTGCATCTTAATCCCACCCACAGAAGATGCGAAGAAAAAAAATGCAAGGAAAACGTGAGAAGTTATTTACGACATAAAACCTCCTTTCCTCCTATCCTTCATATGAAGCATTCAATCACCAAATGATTTCTGATAAAGGGGCATGTCACTTCATAAGAAAACTTAGGTGGCTGCCTCCTCCAGCAGCCTCCTTGTTCCTCAGAGCTGATACTTGAAATATCCTTGGTCCTAGGTCGACTGGAACACCTTCCAGGTTGACTAAAGGCTCAGGACATAGGAACGAGACTTGAGAAGCACCCTCTGTCTCACTTTCAAAAGAGATGTCTGTGTGCATGACTATATCAGATTCATGTGCGTTTTCTTCTCAAGCACAAAAAAAGTCTTTTGACTCAAAATTATAGTTTTCAAAAAAAAAAATTCAAATTGAGAAAGTATATATAAAGTTTATTGCAGAGCATTATCTTTCTTTAGACCTGAGGAAAGATAATGAACTTTGTGTGCTTCAAAGATCACTTGTTCTTCAACAATGGTGATCTGCCGATCACATTTGTTAAAGTAATTGTTATAGGAACATTTGAGTGCAGAAGATATTTGCCAGTAAAGGGCATGAAGCTGGGTCATCCAGTTGGGTAGCCTCGCTGACAACTGTCCACTATGCTGGTTTAGGTTAGCTAATGATCACTTAATTGCTTTGTGTAACAACTGGCTTGTTTGACACAAAGAACGGAGCAATAAATTCCACAAATCTTTGTAAAGTAGGGTGAAAGAGAGATAAGTCCTCATATAACACAAGTTTTGTATGGTCAAAGTCTCTCGTACCTGGTGGAAGTCCCAGGTATGGGCCGTCCAGTGTCCACCAGCACACACCAGCAGTAGCCGGTGGAAGGGTGGCATTGGACGGGCTTGTACAGTCCTCCTTGGGCGCAGTCTGGTACAAATACAGCGTCATTCTTGTGCTGTCTCGCTTCTTCCTGGGCAGACTGTTGCTCCTGGTCACATGATGAGGCTGTAGAGAGGGGTTAGAGGTTATGCAGGAATCAGAAGAGGTGTCATAGAATTGGTCACACAAACACACATACACACACTATCCACAAGAACAGCATTCACTAAAGTGGTGATCAAGTTTGTGTGACGCCAGATGCACCGTCAGGGAAAGAAGAGAGTTTGTATAAAGTTTACATTCGGAGACACTCTGAACCAGATCTAGCTAACACATTTTGGATTTATGCAACATGCAGTATGTTTGAACCAATTTCTATGCTAAAACGAATGCACACAGCTGCTCTTTCCTATTGTGGCAAAATCCCTGAGGAGGAGAAGAAGGAAGACAAAGAGGTAGAGGATGAGTGCTCCAAGACAGTGTGTGCAGACTGCTGTATCAGCCCCCCTATGGCACTGTTTACGAACATTAATGGGCTAATGACTAAGTACCACTCCCTATGCCCCAAGTTACATAAATATTTGGACACCCTGCCCTGTATAGACATGTGTGACAGCGAGAGACACAGACAAGAAAAAAGTGAAACTGGTCAGTCGGGCATTCCCCTCACACTCCCACACATAGTGACATACTACTCCTGGTAATGTAAAGTACCAGGCATCTACTGTATATGTTCACGTGTTTAAAATTCCCCGGGACAAATACAATGCTCCACAACCTTTTTTTATACCTATATGCCCAGTGAACGCAGTGGTCTCGATGGCAGAAACAGCCTCAGCATGACACAATCACACTTTGTGCAGCAGTCTCCTTCTCTGCTGTGCAGGTCTCCAACAGAGATTTGAGCATTAAACTCAGGGATGGAAGTAAAGCTCTTCTGGCTTTCATCACCAATATCTCCCTCTCTTCCCAGCTCGCCTCAAGGCTCGGAAGCTACTTTGGGATTATGGATATCCCTTTTCTTTGTTTATTTTCATTAGAGATCTTTAACCACACAAAAGAGACCAAAAGAGACCAAATGAAATGCCTCCCTGCTTTCTCAACCAACTCTCTTCGCTCCAGTTCCTCCGTATGTGCTCCCTTTGTTGGGGAGGGTGTTTTTTCACCCCTATACTCCAAAGAGCACATGGTAATCAAAACCATCAATGCTGCATTTCTCAGGCTTTTTTTTTACTGGTTGTAAATTATGATAATGGTATTCACACACAAATATGCACACAGAGTTCTCATCTTTAGACTGGCCTCAAAATAATAATGTTTTATACATATTTCCCCAGAGAGCAAAGAGGCAGCTGATCTATACAATATGAAAAACCTGCATGTGTGTAAGAGGAGAGCAGAATGGACTAGCTAAAAGAATAGGAGATCCTGTGTTGGTGCCATGTCCTGATAATTACACATATTCTTCAAAGCGAAGAACCACAGAGAAGCAGATCCTCAAAGCCTGAAGCACTCCAACACCGAGACGTATTGGTTTCACAACCCACCATCTCTCCTTAAAAGACAGGAACAGCCTCAAACCATGATTGCTCACACAAGTAGGAAAAACACAGAGCATGCTTTCAGTTGAGGTTTGCAAACACCCGATCGCCATCATTAAAGGAAAAGTGGTTTTTGAAACTCACATGGTGCTCTGGTTCTATTGTTCTGTCGGCTGCGAACCTGCTCTGTCCACAGGGTAGGGTACTGGGAAATGATATCTGAAAGATATCACAGAGACAGCTTTATTAGGTTCAAATGAAAACATACTCATTTATCATCTGAGCCAAACCTAGTGGTTCCAAAACTCACAGACTGTAAAATGCACATCAGGGTTATCGTATCTCCAGCTGCTTGAGTGGACGTGGAGAGTAAATTGCATATGACAGCTGTAACCAGAAATATGGTGCCAAAAAGAGGGTTAGAAAGCTAGGACTAGTCTCCTGTCTTATCAAGTAATTACATTAACATGAAATCATAAAACATTACTTCTCTCAAAATAAAAAAATGCTCTAATGCACTACTGCAAGATGTGATTTTCTGCTTCCCCTTCACAGTGATGTACTATTTTTTATTGACCTAGAAATGTAGGAAGATGTTTTCTCTGTGATTTGGAGTTAATAGGAAGTGAATGTATGAATACCATAATATAGATGTACTCCGTTACAAGTAAAAACACTGAGTACAGATATATTAGCAGCAAAACAATATTAAAGGTCGTGCTCATTCGGCAGATTTGCATCTTTCAGCGGTTTACGTATATATTATTATATATTAGTGGTTTGTTGTTACTATTTAATAAACTGACTTAACATGTAAATAGCATGTAAATAATGTTAATAACTACTTTACATGGTATTGGTTATATTTATCTATTAATGTGCCATATTTTAATAATGACATATTTTAAATACATATTAATATGTACAGTAACCAGAGCTGTCAGATAAATATAGTTGAGTAAAAAGTAAATGTTGTGGGGTAAAAATACACATTAGTATAGAAAGGAATAACATCAAATAATCACAATTGTTTCAGAAATGTACAGTCCTTGAGTAAATGTAGTTGAAAAAAGATATAACACATTTGTTATTAGCTTATTGTACTTGATCTAGTACATTGTAGTGGCTAGCTAGCTAATGTTAGCAAAGTTAAGATAACTAATGGATATTAATGAGTACGTTTGTTGATTCAATGACTTTTCTCTGTGTGCTACTGTTCTGCTGTTTCAGCATTTATTGTCTTTTATTCTAACTTGTAACCATACAAGGATTCTATTCATCAAAAACTGCAAAGTCTCACTTTAATGTCAAAGATACAAAAAAACAAAAGCAAAAACAACTCATGCTGAAATTGTCCTCTTAGATTTCTTTAACATTTACATCAAAACTTGTGTATCTTCTCAAGTTTTACTGTCATACTTTTGCCAGTGACCTTATTTGAAGCATGATGCTGTAACAGCCTCTTGTGCAGGCTCCTTTTTTCCCTTTTAAGGATGTTTTGGTGCTGTGCTTTTGAGTCAGTAAACACAGGCACAGTATCAAACATTTTTACTCACCTTCTTCATCTGCAGCAGGCTGAGGATCCACCACTAGGCCAGTCTCATCTGCATTTAGAATTGAGAATATTTGCAAGGAGACTACAATTACAAGAGTAAGCTAGATTAGAGAACACTTAACTATGGGAGATTTGCACTTTGCCCGGCCAAGAAGGTTGAGGGTAGAAGTAGAGATGAGTACAATTAGAAAGGTAGAGGTCTGTGTGTGTGTGATGAAAGCAGAAAGAGGTGTGTGGCAGTAAGAGAATAGAGGAGTAAAATTGGAAATAATAGTCATATATTCCTATAGTTTCACTTCATGCAATAAGGGAGGTAATTACACTATGGAAGACAGATTGAGGTCAGTTATAATGAATGAGGAGAGGATGAGATCCAGTTGTTCCCGATATCCTGCTGCATCCTTACATGTGAGCTGTGAGAGCTGTGTGAAGGTGGGAGAAACACAAAGGGTGAAGAATGCAGTAGCTAAGTCTGAGAGGAACCAATTAACAGGGAGAGAATGAAGCCCACTGTTTATTTGGTCTCTGTTTGTTTGTTTGATTTGTGGCAGGAGGCAGACGGAGATGGAGATTTTGAGCAGCTTAGAGTGAAACCACGGCCAAAAGTGTGGTTAACCTCAGTGTAGGTCACTCATTCTGCTCACAGTGAACCTCTGTTAATTCTCCAGTCTGGGCACCTCTGATGGGTTGCTTCACAAACAGGGATTGAGTTTAAACTTCTTTGCTTTAACAATGAATTCTCCATTGCAAAATCAGGAGTTTACATTTACTGTAAGCTTGTTGTGCCAGCTATTCATCTTCTCAAGCAGGGGTGGTGGATAAAAATACATACAGTCAGTGTGAGGCAGACATGTTATTACTCTGCTCGCTTAACGGATGGAAATGCCATCTCAAAAAGTCTATTTATGATTTGGATTTACGATAAACCACTAATGACCTGTCTTTACTTTGTGGCCATTTACATGACTGTAACAACTCTTTTAGCATCTGCCAGGAAACCCCCACGCTATTTGTGGTCATTTGTGGCATTAGTTTTACTGCTGTTTTGTCAGTCGTCAGCTGCTTATGATTCTGGCATGGGAATTAATTTATCAAGTTACGCACCAGTGATGGGTTTATAAAAAAACATTTGATGTCTGACTTTACCAATATTCAGGTAATAAAAGTGCAGCAATAGCTGCTGTGCAGTGCTTACTGTAGATACTGATGGGCTTCTGCTGAAACAAAATATTGATGCAATCACTGCTATTTTCAGTGCTGGCACACCACAGATCTACAGTTTATTCTACTTTTCACCACCCTGTTTATCCAACCAGTTCAAACTGAACCACAGCACCCCCAACCTCCTTTCCTTTCTCATTCCCTCTTGCACCATCCCTCCTCCTCTCTCACATTTTGCATTCCCACTATATGTAAGAAGTTGGCCAGGCTCAGACAGACACTATACCCAAGATTGTTTACACAGTGAGAGGCGCAACTGACAGGAGTAATGCATGTGACAAACACAAGTGGATACGTACACACTTTCTCTATTTCAGTCACATACATACATTCATGCATACAAACACACAGTCACATAAGGAATTGATCTGAATCAACACAAATTACACTTTTTCCTTAAACAAAGAGTCTCTTAAAAGATGAAAGTAAGATATACAATTTCTGGAGTGGAGCAAGAGGGAAACATAGTGGTTCTGTATCTGGAGGAGGAGGGCAGATGTTGATGAGAGACAGTGAAAATAGGGTGAAAATTTCCTTATATCTTGTGATGCTGCTGCTGAAAAAGAACCACAGTGAAGAGAGATAAAGTTAGAGAAGAAAAGCTTATGATACTGTAAGTACATGTTCCTCCATTCTGGCTGCTACCTCTCAGGCTGTTTGGCAGCCTGGTACAGACAGCAGTAGGTTATAGGCACTGTAGCTGCTGGCGGTGTAGATTAAAGTTCACTGCAGCTTTTCACCTTAGTCTTGTTTCTCAGTGCTTTTATATCAGCCTTCAGGCTGCTCACACTCTCAAATTCACAAAATATTAGAGGCAAGCCTTAACAGGTGACCTACCTTGTACATCTACAGCACAGATGCAGGCTAATAGACATAGACACAAACGAATACACACACATACATACATGCTACACATGCACATGGACGCACACAAAAGTGCACATACACATGCAGTATAAAGCAGTCAGTGTACCTCTGAGAATGAATTTTTCTTTAATTAAAGTCTCACCTGCTTTACCTGGCTCCCTTGTGGTAGCTCTCTCTTGTTTTGATCCTGAAAAGTGACAGGTTCAAATTAATTAAATATTCACCATCATGCATTTTGTTCATGCATGTCATATAACAACACAAAAGAATTCAAATATCTGGCCTAATTTGTGGCACATGAACAAACAGCCACCAGACTTAAAACTGGTTATTAATTTATTTGTGGTGGCTTCGTGATTTACAATATAACTACTACCTCTGGAGCTTTCTCGCTATGGAGGCAGCAGTGGCTTCCAAGGCAGCCCCACAGAGATGCACAGGGAAGACATGTGGCATTGGCTGTTTGATTGCTTGGCAGATGCCATCCTCCAAGAACACTTACATTCCTTACAGCTTAACTAGGTTGTTCAACTCTGTAGCTCTGCTTTTCTACTAGGCATATTTACAACACAGCCCCATGACTGAAGCAAATGCTCAGTTCTCTGGTGGCCTCCAAACCCCCAGTCCTGTCACTGACCACTTTCCCACAGGACTGAAGATTACATGTCCCACAAACATGGACTGTCATGCTTTGGTGTGTTCAATTTGATTCACCATTATTGTTTCACAAAATTACCAAAACCACATACATCAGGCTTGGTACACTGAAATGGAAACACAGTATATATGTTTTTGATAACTGTCCATTATAAGACAGGTTGTAGTGGTGTTACCCACCTTGGCATCGAGGTTTTTTATTGGCTACTGCTGAGCCACTGACGGGTCGGCCGTCAGGGGTGACACACCAGCAGTATCCAGTGTAGCTGTGGCACTGAACCTGTAATCAAAACAGCACAACGCAAGGTCAGCACAAACTAAACCAGGAATGGCATCTGTAAAAATGAAATGTAAAAGGACAAGGTTAAAAACTCATCAACATCCATCCATTGCAAAAGTGGACTCCGGGGAGTTTCTCTTTTCTACTGTGGCCTTTATGCATTATATTCAAAACAAGTACAGTGCCTTGCGAAAGTATTCGGCCCCCTTGAACTTTGCGACCTTTTGCCACATTTCAGGCTTCAAACATAAAGATATAAAACTGTAATTTTTTGTGAAGAATCAACAACAAGTGGGACACAATCATGAAGTGGAACGAAATTTATTGGATATTTCAAACTTTTCTAACAAATAAAAAACTGAAAAATTGGGCGTGCAAAATTATTCAAATCCACATAAGGGATGACGGCAACATTCATAGATCCTGGAATGCACAATGAGGGGCAATGTTCATTCCTATTACAGAGGCCCACTGAAATTTTTTTGAGGAAAAGCTGTGTTAGACTGCATATTGTTTATAGTACACACTCTTGTGTGTTACAGCCTGCTCAGTGTTTTATAACTAAGGTGTCACTTTATTTTTAAGCTCATTTAATAAGACAAGTTGAACCAGAACAGACTCATTTGGAGCAGCATAGAAACACATACAGTACACACATGGATCACTGTGTAGAGCTATGGGCAGCTTCTGCACAACTTCTATAATTAATTAAAGTCCCACTCCAGAAACATTTTCATTTTTATATTTGTATATAAAAATACTTTACTATAAACAATATGCAGTCTAACACAGCTTTTCCTCAAAAAAATTTCAGTGGGCCTCTGTAATAGGAATGAACATTGCCCCTCATTGTGCATTCCAGGATCTATGAATGTTGCCGTCATCCCTTATGTGGATTTGAATAATTTTGCACGCCCAATTTTTCAGTTTTTTTATTTGTTAAAAAAGTTTGAAATATCCAATAAATTTCGTTCCACTTCATGATTGTGTCCCACTTGTTGTTGATTCTTCACAAAAAATTACAGTTTTATATCTTTATGTTTGAAGCCTGAAATGTGGCAAAAGGTCGCAAAGTTCAAGGGGGCCGAATACTTTCGCAAGGCACTGTATCTCTGACATTGACTTTTTGTTACCTCGCTATATGTGCCATCAGGGTTGCATACAGGCACAAAGACCTGTGGGAAGAGCTTCTTGGCTTGCTGCTCTGTGTACTTCTTCTCTGCTACACATCTGGATGTATCTGAGAAGCACCACAAATCACCATAATCACTACACATCATAGAGACTCATGATTCAACCCACAACTTAACTATTTTCTTATGCTGCACAACTATAAAACCAAGAGGCTTAAAAAGTCAACACTCACAGATGATAAGAAATGAGAGAAAAATGCAGGGAGAGAGAACAGATTGAGGAAAAACAATTCAAGATATTTCAGAAGCAGCAGATACTTGTGTGGCTGGGAATAAAACCAACACCCCCGGTCTTATTAGGAATATGTCAGACAAGCCTACACAGTGCCTGGTGGTAAAGCCATTACTGAGCGAGGCACCCCGTGCTGCTCCTGTAGAATATTCCAGTCACCCAAGAAAAGGCTGATGCACAGGGAAAACCTGACCCTTCCTTAATTTCTCCAAGTCTGTCTCACTCTCTTCCTAAACCCTGACTGTCTCCTCAGTTCAGCCGGAACTGTCCTCTAAGTATTTGTTGGTATAAATGTGGGTTAGCAACTTTTCACCTATGTGTACCTTAAGTGTTTTCACATCTCTCTGTCAGGGTCATGGCTTATCTTGTCATTACATGGCTACATCACCTTAATGGGACAAAAGCAGCCAGCTGTATAAACTCTTAGGGAGATGTGGAGCAGCGAAGGGTTTGATGGTAACTCAGTGTGACACACTAGCTGCCACGCAGTGCTTGTCTGGCTGGCAGGTTCAAATCACATTAAAACAATGACTCATGCTAAGTTTAAAAACGTTCACCAGTTTGGTCAGGATGCTGCACATCGCTGGCATTAGACACATGCAGGGGAATGTGCACTGGTTTTGCTCATCAGTCTAGTGTGTGTATGTGTGTGTGTGTCACTGTCACTGGTAAAAAGAGGGGGCAAGAAGTCGGATGTTCCGGATGAAGGAAAACAGTGAATTGAGGAGCTCTGAAGTTAGCTGCAGTGGAAAAACCCCAAACCATCGTCCTTCTCCAGGGGGCTCTGACCAAAAAGCTGACTGGAAAAAATGACAGGACACTTGAATCATCAGTACAATGATAGAAACCAAATGTGGTGCCAGGCTTACCATCCTTCAAAACAATCCTATCTCTGTGCTTTTAGGCCAGACTGGCCCTCTGGTTTATTTTGGCTGCTAAGTTGGCTGGTGCTGCTGTGTCTTTCAGCCCAGCCATCCAGAAGCAGAAGGGGGTCCAGACCCTTATAGCCCCCATGCTAATGGCACATACAATACAACTTTCATAGACTCTCATTCCTTTCAGCTTCCTTGCTGGAATCCTCTTTTCTGTGTCTTGGTGCTGTTCGCTACATCCAGATGTCCGCTTAGAAACGTTGCCATAGAGACCCAGCAAGGGCATAAAATCGTGCAATGCTTTTCCATCATATGAGAATTCGTTTTAAGCAAACCCTCTTGATTACACCTCCTGTATTAGGGATCTAATATTGTAATGGGTAAGAGTGGGGCATTGTCCCCAGTTTATAGAGTGATGAACTAGCTGTATAGAGTTAGTGAGTATGGTGGGGGTGAAAACGTTCAGTATGCAGCATCGGGGTGTATGGGTTCTTCCTTCCAAAAGTGACTAACAATGAGGGAGTCTGTGAGCTGCTGACCTCACTGGCTCTTTCTCTCCATTTGCTTTTCATCTTCAGTCCTCCATCCATCACAAATGTGCAGCCTCACATCAGATATGATGAAAATAGCACCATTAATTCTTGTCAAGATATTTCATTCTAATGATCCCAGCTCTGCATAAAAATATGATTTCAGAGAGCTGAAGCCATTTCAAATCAGTGGAGAAGTAGCTGATGCACTGACTGTGATAAAGTATGAAACAGAAGCATGAAATACCCGGGTAAACAAGCATAAATTCCACTGAAATTGAAACAAGTTTTGTGACAAATGATCACACATTTACTTTATACCATACCATACCAACTTTATTTATAAAGCACTGAAACATCCGAGACTTTATCAGTACAAATGGCATGAAATCACAAAACCAACAAGAGTAGAGCTTCACTCTCACTGTGCCAAACCTACTCACCCTCAGTGCTCAAAGAATCAATTATGCTGAAATGAATTTAACACACAAGTTTCTACTGTGACCCACTCTGCACATTGTAGAGCATCAGGCTGCACTGAAGTGTGACTTATGACCTGACCTTTGCATGGCCCCCGGATGACCTCCAGCTGGGGGTCGCGGCACTTGGCTCGGAGGAACTCGCAGCGAGATGTGAAGGTCCTGCCATCAGAGGCACATAGGGGTTTACGAGGAGCTCCACTACATTCCATGTTGCACTCCTTATCCTGGTCCACCCGCAGGAACTGCAGAAATGAAAAGGTATGAGATGAACAGAGAAAACATTTGCTAAATGACCCATTTCTGGGAATCAGTGAGCAATATAGGGAGGGATTTACGCAAACTATTTGGAAATTGTGTAGGAGCAAATTCATTTTATAAAACAGTCTCCCAGCCCTGCGATGGATTGGCGACCTGTCCAGGGCGTACCCCGCCTTTGCCCGATTGCCGGCCGGGATTGGCTCCGGCCCCTCCTGTGACTCCGTTCAGGGATTAAGCGGTAGAAAATGAATGAATGAATGAAAACAGTCTCCCAAAATCTGTAATAGCAGAACAGAACAAATTGTTGTGTTTCAAAACTTTTATTGGAGGTTAATAAACAGGTGCAGCATCCTTTCACGAGGATGAAGCAGTGCCACTACGAGCCTATCAGGGTGCAGCCATGATATGTCTTTATCCAAAGGCCTGAAGAAGACTTGACTGATACTTCCTCTTTTCTTTGTCTGTGCCATCACCTGCACAGGTATTCACCTGAAATTGCTGCTGAGCATGTTTTACTCAGCCATGAAAAGGGGAAACAAGGACAGAGACTCCTGGCTGAATGCATCGGATCACCTGTGTCAATGCTGCCATTGTATCTGCCACCGTGGTATGAAACCCTCTTGCCAGGGCACACAATGGAGTGGCGGTGGTGGTGAAGGGGGTGGCAACAAGCTGTGACTGCTAGAATGAATGAAAAGACAGTAAATGACAGAGGAGCTGTCTAGATGTCTAAACTAGATGTCAGTGAGCTTTGTGGTGCTACAGTGTGAATGCTGGGTTTACCTAAAGTTCACGTGATTCATTCAGTGCAATGGAATAATAACTTGGGTAGAGTGAAAAACAACAAACCCTGTACCCATGCCCATGCAGGTCCTGTTTTCAGTCAGTCATATCCAAAAACAAATACCTCTCTGAAATGTTTTTGTCTTCTCTTATAATGAAAGTATTTGCAGGTATGAAACACTTTAACTTTTCAATCACTTTTGCTCTTTTGTTTTGCGATGTTTTTGTTTGGTGGATGGAAAAACACCCCAAGTCTTTATGAACAATTTTTCAGAGCAGAAATGCAGAGAGACAGAAATTTTCTCTCTTTTGCTCACACAACTATCAGTCTGTGACACAAAGCAGACAAAGTCCTCACCTAAAGGTAAGCCATAAAACTATGTTATTAATAATCAAAAGACAGGTCAGATTATAATAAAGAGCAAGAAGAAAAAGACAGAAATCCATAAAAAGGACAAGGGTGACCACAAATTAAAAAAATAATTAGTTGGGTCTAATATCTTACAAATGAAATGAGAGTGAGCTTTGGTGACAGCCCCCCTGCCTCCAGACGAGCAGAGCTGCAGGGCAGCGTGCACCTGGAGGAGGGTTGGCAGAAAGCATCGCCCTGGGCCAGGGGGCAAACACCGCCCACTCTGTCAACCCTGCTCATAAATCTTTCTGTGGGGGTCAGGGTGGAATCAGAGAGGAGAAGCCCGTTCAAACACATAGGAAGAGGAGCCACAAGGATGAAAAATGAATCTTTTGGATTGAATGAATTTTTTTCAGAACCAAACTTTTTATAAGCTCTTTGTTCTCAGTGTCATAAGGAGAACACAAAAGGCATCCTGTGCTGCAGAGCTAGGAAGTTATTTGCTTCACAAGAACAGCCTATGTCCAAGTCTCAGCGCTCATCTTTCGTCTTTCTAAACAGAAAGAGAGTAATACCTCTTCCTCCTCCTTTGAGAATCACAAAACACGCTGTCTATTTCCACTGAATAAAGAGAATTAATAGTGCTGTCTTTAATTCAGCAAGGCAACACTTGCAGCACAGTCCACTGTAGAGCACCAGAGCACCCCACATAATAAATGTTTTCTGGTGTGTGGGCCACTGAAACCACTCAGATTGAACAGTTTGACAGGGAAAAGCCCTTTCACATCCATTATAATGTGTGAGGATAGGTCACAAAAGACATTCCTTTAGGGGATCACAAACAAAGAGGTTGGCTACCACCTATTTTGACACAACTGGGAGGATTTTTGATTTTAAATTTGATTATTGGTTGTAACTTAATCTGTGAAGAAGCTGGCCTTTTGCATCACTGTAAATGAGCAAGCTTGGTTGGATGACCTTAATCATTAAGTCAGATGGCAACACCAGATGGCACATTGACTCTCATCAACTAAGCAACTGTTACTTAATGCTATCTTTACAAACTGCTGTTGTACTTTGATATGAATGGTTAAAATATATTTACAGAACAATAATACTAGTTCTCTTTCTACTGCTACTTATTTCTTTGCCTGTGTCTCTGCATAAACTGGGGGTCTGCCCCTCCTTGTTAATGTCTCCGAGTTTCTTAGATTGTTTGCATCATTGCACTTAACTGACAGTCTCCCTCTCACCCTCTCCCCTTGTCCGTCCACACCAGCGACCTCCTCCTGCAGTGGTGACCTCTTCTCACCCTCTACTCTGTCTCTCACAGCTCACCCATTCAAATACAGTCCAGTAGGCATGACAGGCTGGTCTGATGATGGTTTTTGCAGAAGACCACAATCTTCCAGAGCCAGTAACTGCTCTAACAGTGTCTGAGTGCATCCAGCCATGCTTAGCGGTGGACCGCCAGCCTTGCCACAGCCCTCGCTGGCCACCTCAGTGGTCACACCACACCAGCATAATCAGCATCAGGCCCTGTCAGCCAGCAGACTGACAACCCAAACAGAGTCATTCAGCAGCCCAGCATCTTGCTAGATATCCACTGTACAGCACACAGCAGAGCACCAAGGGCCTTCGGGCTTATGATAAAGCTCCAAGAACACAGCATGGAAAAACACAGCTATCCATGAGATCAGCCACCCATGAAATCAGCCGCCCAGATTCACAATTAGACTTCCAAGTGTTTATTTCAAAGTCATAGTTGGAGACTACAGCAGGAGAACCAATAAGATGTGAAAGCCAGTGACAGAAAGGAGTGTCAGAGACTAATGGTGTGTTGAAGACCTCTTCCTTCTCTGTACTCCTAATGTTTGTTAGCTGTCAGCTGCAGATCGCAGGAGTGTTTGACCTGTTGTGATGAATTGGCAAGGTTGAGGTAGAGCCCTGACACTCTCCCAATGTTTCATTCCACCCTCTCCAAACGGCACAATCATCATGCACAGCAACTTGGTGGAGATTGACTGATGGTTTATGGCTCAGCTACAGGCAGCACAAGCTTCCACCAAGATTTATCATTAAAGGAGACTCATACAAGACTGAACACATATTGTGACCCAAATCCATTTACTGCACAAATCCTTTTCTTGTCTACTTCCAGACAGCTGCCTCACTTTTCTCCTTTTGATTTTGCTTTCATTCCTTTCATTAGTTCTTTTTTCTTTGCATGATCTCGCTTAGAAGATGCTGTTTGCATCTGTTCAAATAATACAGGAGGTTGGCAAAGGAACAAGAGACAGGCCAGAGAGGGCGAGACGGGCGGAGTGTAAGGGAAACCTTTTTTTTTTCCAAGACCAACCAGCATACAAATCAAATCCTATTACCTCCCCCTGGCTCTGTAGTATTGTGGGGTAGAATGGAGTACAGAGGAGGTGAGCCTCCAGCAGAGAGCACATTGTAGGCTGATAAGGGCCTTCTGGGCTGGGAGGCCCCTGCCTCCACAGCCCCAAGAGGCCCCGTACACCACAGCCCCACAGGGTCAGTGGGGGCCCCAGCTGGGAGCCATAGCAAACGTGCTAAATGGCCTTTGCTGGCGTTTCCTGCATGGATGCTAGGATGCAAAGAGGATCATTAGTTTCCAACATGGTGGAAAGGGAAGAAAGTGACAGGACTTTACCAAGGCTACTAACTCAATCAAAGGAAAAGGCTGGGAAAGATGTTAGAAAGAAAAAGAGCTGGTGTGAACAGGCACTGATGGTGCTGTGACAATGAAAAAAAGTCTTTTGGCAGGTGCACAATTTTAGGAAAGACACTAGAGCCCATATGTTATGCTAAACTTAGTTTGTACATGTTTGTAAAAGAGGTATCACAGCTTTTCATACACTACTTATATAAGCCACAAAAAAAGTCTGGCCAGAGAATAACTTGGTCAAATATTTAGGTGCCCGTTCAACCTCAAGTATGCACAAAATATAACATGGAGCCATTTTCTTGAAACCAGTAAAAACCTCTCATGTATCATTCAAACAATAAGCCATTGATCACACTCACAAAGTCTGTAAAAGTACAAGTGCATGTTATTCCAGTAAGGAAACTAGTGAACCACAGTGTCAAAGTTTGACGCAGACACACTTAATACTTAAACTTGCAATGAAATAGAAAGGATTCTTCTTCTTCTTGGATGCTGTCTCCATACAGTCATATCTGTGTAACCTTTATATGAACTGCTGGATAAATGTTACCCCTGACACCTCAATAACAAGAAGCTCACATTATCTGCACCCACATTCTGGGTGTGTAAATGTGTGTATCATAGTGAAAACTTAGGGAAGTATATTCTCAGTGCAACAATTCCTCCCACATTCCATAACTCCATAGTGCCATCAGAGAGGATCTCCAACCCCCTCACCTGCAGGTTAAAATCTCATAGCCATTTATTTCCAGTTGGATGTTAAGACATCTTCATCATAAATAACAAAGCTAGGGAAGGCAGAACACATTCCGCTCTGTCAGCAGTGTACCTGCACTTGATCCTGGCCATAAAATTTCCCTCATTTGCCTTTAAAGATACACTTTCTCCTGCACTTTGAGGAGAAACTGATATGATGCACGGTTTTGCTGCTGCTGTAAACAACGCCATGTGCTTTGGTGAAGCAGACCTTCTGACACTGACACCTTAGTCTCTAAGAGCCACAACAAGGTACAAAAGCGAACAGGACAGAGAGGCAGACAAGCTAAGAAGCTGGCAGGCAGGGGAAGGCCCTAAAAGCGAACAGTGGTGCTTCTAACAACCCAGTCGACTCCTCACAGGAAAGCCAGCTGCTCTGCCATGTCAGACATGCTGTGCAGAGACCCCGAAAAAGTTCTACAGTGCAGCTCTTTGATATTTTCTTAAAATTTAAATTCCATCTTAACTTAGCCTTCTGCCATTCTTGAGAGAGATTACATCTAAAAGTCACATGGTCCGCATGGGTTATAATGTTCAAACTGATTTACCATCTCTGTGCATAAACACTTGTTACAGGAAATGCTCGCAAAAAGAACACAAAAGAAGCGGACGAGAAGCCTTGTTTCAGGATTGTATTCCTGTTACAAAAAAACCCATTTGTCAGTGCGTGTTTCACTTTTACGCACGGAACGCACAAGCATGCCGTTCCTTTTAAAACCATGAGATGAGACACTTTCGAAGAGTTATGTGGCTCTTCCTACCGTAAGAGCAGAGAACTTCTGAGCGCGTCCAACGCACAGAAGACAGAGGAAGACCGGCAGCAGACAGACGCGCATCCTGACGCAGCGTGGCAATAAACTCTCCAAATTACACACAGTCAAAAACTCAGTAGCACGGACTTCCCAAAGGGACAAAAACTGTCTCTTGGAAAAGATGTTTAAAAATCCAGAGTAGTCCTTGCGAAAAAAAGCGTGGCAGAGAGGGGACTGCAGGCTTATTTCACTTTGTCTCCTTGGTTTCGTTTGCTAAACCGTTTGTGTAGACACTCTCCTTATTTGTGGCAGTGCATAAAGCCCTCGTGTTCCTGACCTTTTCCCCTCCCTCGGTGTCTATTCTCCCTTTCTAATTCTCTCCAATACGACTTCTTTCTCCACACCCCCTCCCTCCACACTTGATTTTGTGGACTAGATCTCTTATCGAAAACAGGCAGTTCACCAGCCGGTAGGTAGGTGTAGGGTTAGGGGGACTGCTGGTAGCTGAGACAAACACGCCAGGCATTCTTTTCTTTCACGTTTTTTGTTTCCCTTATCTTTCAAAACCACAACAAGAAATCCTTTCTTAAGAGGACCGTGTGACGATGTTAGTGAGGGAGATCATCAGACAGGCTATTGTTTGCTGGGAAGGTCAGCAAAAAGAAGAAATACAGTCTACACTCCAATGATAATACCACACACATGAACTTCAATGTAGTTTCGATTTCCTTGACTGTCTCTCCGCTTATAATAACATTCTGTAAATACAGATACACAAAGTTCTTCAGTACACAAGCAGAGACATTACAATTTAATAATGTTTTGAAAGCAAAATAATTTGCCATTTGTCCTGTTGATTGATTTAAATCGCATACTTCAAGCAAAGCAGTGGACGCCAAACTCATCTTCATAGTGCTATTGAATGATTATGATCAATGCTGAAGCTAGATTGGGAGGGATGTGATCAGTTTGGCGTTTATTCTTAATTCTCCTTGAGACAGACTTTGACAGGTCTCTTGAACGTCTTTATTACAATGCTGACAGCTGCACCTTGTGACTAAAACGCCATCTAGCGGTAAATACAAGTAATCACAAATTATAACAGCCTGCTAAACACAGCCTGGTGAGACTGTAAAAATTTTATCACACATTTTTTAAAATTATCTGACGCCAAAGGCAGCAAAGAAAGGTACTAAAAGAAAAAACTAAATTACTAAGTAATACGAGGATGCAACCAATAATGTTGCTTCATTCTTATACGATCACAGGCTAAATTATCTGTTAGTAATATTGTTTGTTCTGCCCAGCTGGCATTTCAACATTTATTTATGGTTAAATCAATGTCATGGACTAAGGTTGAATCACCCTTGAATTTTGTTTTCATTTTGAAAATCGAATCAACATTATTATCCCGACATTAATGTCTTACTTTTCAACTTGAGTGAAATAAAATCTTATACGTCAACGTTTAATTAAGACAACTATATTCTGAAACTCGAATCAGAGTGTTGTGGCTGAAAAGACATTCAGGAGATTGTTTTCATTCCTTGTGGGGGCTTTACATTGACTTACTGTACATTCATTTCCTGAGGACTTATCCTAACCTTAACCACTACTTGCCTAACCCTAACCCTAACACTTAACCTAACCTTAAACTATATTGCCACCCTAAAATCCAGTGGTTTCCTTGGCCAAGTCTCAGCAATGTGAGCGTGTTAACAGGTTTCGGTCCCCATAATGAAAGTAAAATGAAAGGCACACACAAACACACATGACGGGTACTCAGTTTCCCATAATGCCTCGTTCCCACTCAGAACTTCTTTCCGCTTCCTTCCGTTTCTCCAGCGCCATCTGCGTGGTTTAGCAGCGTTAGTTAGCCGAGTACACATTCTCCTTTTTCGTTCTAGTGATTAACAAGCTTGGACAAGTAATCTGCATCATGTCATATCATGACGAAGAGGAAGTCAGTATACATTTTTCTTCTAGATATCTCAAAGGTTTCACGATAATAACAATGACACCTAGCTAGCCGCATAGCTAACGTTAATTCCGCCGGTTAATGGTTGTAGCCTTGTTTCTGAAACATATGTAACCATAACTTTACATAAGTGTACCAACTTGTAACTTTATGTAGCTTTGTAATGTAGAGGATAGCTTTTTAGGCTAAGTAAGTAACGATTACACGCTGTTAAGATCTGCAACAAATGCCCGACTGCTGTGTTTCCTCACAGGGTGATCCTTATGCCTACACCTACCCAACCGACTACGACCTGCACACCGGTTAGTATATACACCATCGGTTTCTATTCATGTAACTGTACAAAATCATAGTTCGTACATTAAACAAGCTGTACGGAGTTGAAGTACTTCATATACTGTGTGTGTGAGTTTCAGCATCATTCTCCCAATTTGCAGGTGACCCCAAAGCAGACCTGGCCTATGAGAGGCAGTATGAACAGCAGACCTACCACGTCATCCCAGAGGTTATCAAGAACTTCCTGCAGTATTTCCACAAAACAATCTCTGACCTGATCGACCAGAAGGTTTATGAGCTGCAGTCCAACCACGTGTCCAGTGAGAGCATCGAGCAGAAGATCTATGAAATCCAGGATGTATATGAGAATAGGTAAACTCAAATCTGTGTATAAACCTCTCTGTGTGGTGGGGATGTTGTCTGATTTACATGAGACATTAGAGCTGTGTTTGTGTGATGTGGCTGGCGTACCCCTTCTGATGTTGTTCCTGTTCAGCTGGAACAAGTTGACTGACCGTTTCTTCAAGACTTCTCCCTGGCCAGAGGCTGAGGCCATTGCATCACTTGTTGGCAACGGTGAGTGTATCATCTGTTAATGCTGCTGCACAGACATCTTTTGTTGTTTATTGCAGAAATTCATTCATTCTTTTAAACGTTCTTAGAACGCGTTAAATAGAAATTTGCCCAACAGTTTTCTACTGTCATTAGCTAAAACATGAACATGTGATTGCGCATGCAAAGGCAGGATAGTTGTGTTTTGGCATTTTTACATTTGTTTGTGTTTTTTAAGTGGTGTTTACAAGTTTAGCGATAAGTGAGTTCAGTAATGAGCGTGTTTCCTGTCATTGTTTTCCTGTATCTCCAACAGATGCTGTGTTTCTCATCCTCTATAAGGAACTCTACTACAGACATATCTACGCTAAAGTCAGCGTAAGTAACTGCTTAATATAAACACTTAATAAGCACATAAATTTCCTTCTTGGTCATTGAGGAACCTGCACAATGTGTGAAAACCGTCCCAAGAATTTTACTGTAAAAATTTTCTTGTTGATCAGGGTGGACCGACATTGGACCAGAGGTTTGAGTCATACTACAATTACTGCAACCTCTTCAACTACATTCTCAGTAAGCTTCAAGAATATTTTTGACATTTTTCTCTCACCTGACTGTAGTTGTCAGTGTAAAATAACAGCTAATGCAAGACCAGTCAAAGGAGAATTTTCTAAACAGATGCTGATGGCCCAGCCCCCTTGGAGCTGCCAAACCAGTGGCTCTGGGACATCATTGATGAGTTTATCTACCAGGTATAGTTGGTTACATTGTTAATGTGTCCTCAATTAACTAGACTTGCCCATAATAGAACAAGAATCAGTGGTTGCAAGTACCTACAAGGAGTACCAGATGTGTGGTGTATTAAATAGCACTTTAACTAGGGGTGTGATGAGATCTCACAATATTATAATATGACAATATTTCCAGTCATATATTTCATCATTGAAGATACCTGAAAATTTGTGTTAAAATATCTCATCTTGTTCTTGTGAACCAGGTATCATGAATTGTCTCATCCTGTGAGCTAAGTGTGTTGTCACACCCCTAACGTTCACATAGTACTTTTGTTTTTTAGTCCTTTTAGATGTGGCCCAACCTCACTTTATATCTGACAGACCACTGAAAGCATATCTAAATGCCAATAGGGGAATTACACTCTCCACTCTTTAGTTCCAGTCTTTCAGTCAGTACCGCTGTAAAACAGCCAAGAAGTCAGAAGAGGAAATTGAATTCCTGAGAAACAACCCAAAGATCTGGAACGTCCACAGTGTCCTCAACGTTCTCCACTCCCTGGTGGACAAGAGCAACATTAACCGCCAGCTTGAGGTGTACACCAGTGGAGGTAAAGACCAGTGGTTTGTGGATTAAAGGCCCTAGATCTTGTGATAATGACCCAGATCAGGTGCAGTTTAAGTTCTCTATAAATTTAAAGTCCTGTTAAACTGTGGTGCATGGTAGTTGGTTGCTTTTCTGGTGTGAAAGCAAACTCAACATATGGACTTGAGTGTGGATCCAGACCTGAGTCTGGATTCAGTGATATATATGTACAATGTATATTTACAGGTATTGCACTGCATTGTCCAGACATACTGTCATGGGTCAAGTTAATTTTGATGGTGTGTTGCAGGAGACCCAGAGAGTGTGGCTGGAGAGTATGGGCGTCACTCCTTGTACAAGATGTTGGGTTACTTCAGCTTGGTGGGGCTCCTGAGGCTTCACTCTCTGCTGGGTGATTATTACCAGGCCATCAAAGTCCTAGAGAACATTGAGCTCAACAAGAAGGTACGGTCTTATTTAGAGCACCTAATGTAGAAAGTAACTTGCTTTAGTGATGATACCACTGAGTGTGTTGAGTCCTCTGTTTGTTTACTTTTCCTCCAAAGTATTTCAATTTTTTTCAACAGGTTCATTCAGTTTTAGACCCTAGACTTTTGTGTTCTTCTGTCTAATTCGCGGACCTGTATCTATGTTGATTTTTTTTTTTTTTTTGGTCTTTCAGAGTATGTACTCTCGTGTGCCCGAGTGCCAGATTACTACCTATTACTATGTGGGGTTTGCATACCTGATGATGAGGCGCTACCAGGATGCCATCCGAGTCTTTGCCAACATCCTGCTCTACATCCAGAGGACGAGAAACATGTTCCAGAGGTCGACATATAAATATGAGATGGTCAGTCAGAGCAATGTGTATTAGATAACATAGATGGGTAGTTTTCTGCTTTAGTAACTTATCCTGCGTATTGGATCATGAAGGGATCAGTTGTTTTTGTTGATGACCACAATGTCTCAGAGTTTTTAGGTTGTGTTTAATTCTCGTTAAATCCATTTTGGCATGTGTATGTGAAATATTACACTAATGTGATTGTATGCTTTGTAATTATTAGGTAACATTTCCTAGAGAAGGACCTTGAATCCTAAGCTCAATATAAACCAGAGATGCATCTTTTGGTTATTTTAGTCCTGTGCTCAGCCTGGAATCATATTCTGATGTTGGTTGAAAAGCCAATATATCAAGAGAGCTAATATAATGTGCTATTTATATTTATTTTTAGATTAACAAGCAAAATGAGCAGATGCATGGCCTGCTGGCCATTGCGCTCACCATGTACCCAATGCGCATTGACGAGAGCATCCACACCCAGCTGAGGGAGAAGTACGGCGACAAGATGCTGCGAATGCAAAAGGGGTAAGAAAGAAAAGTCATGTTGCACTGGAGTAAATGTACTTGTTCTCCAGGTACTGTCTTACTGTGTTCTTTACTGCATTTATTTCATTTTTGTGTTATCTCGTACAACTTACATGACCTCTTTATATTGGCCATGCTGTAAATAGTTTTGTCCTGTCTTGTCATGTAAGAGTTAACATAAAATTATGAAAATGAGGTACGACTTTACTGTTTCTTGTACCATAAAGGTGTTTCTTTTTTTTTTGCTTGTGGGATCTGAGCCAGATATAGGTCTGTTTTACTTGTTGGGGATTTAGTAACCGCTCTGCATCCACAGTTGCCTGTAGTGCAAGGACCAGTCAGTAACAGTGGTGCCCAGCAGTAATAATATGCTGAATGACACATGTTCCTGTTTCCATCTCAGAGACCTACAGGTGTTTGAGGAGCTGTTCAGTTTCGCCTGTCCCAAGTTCTTGTCCCCCGTAGTGCCAAACTATGACAATGTCCACCCCAACTACCACAAAGAACCATTCCAGCAGCAGCTGAAGGTCTTTGCTGAGGAGGTGCAGCAGCAGGCTCAGCTCTCAACCATCCGCAGGTAGAGCTTACTACAACTTACTTGTACGGAGTAGTAAAAGTAAAAACATTTTGGATGCAGTTTTTTCTGCTTTGTTATAGGAAATGTATCAAATTCTTATCCAGACTCTCTTGTTTCATCCATCTCGTTCTTAAATACTTTGTAGAAACCTGTTGAGTAAGATGTGGTTGCAGGGTGTCTATACATTGTCATCTAAGTCACAATGTGCATCTCCAGTTTCCTGAAGCTGTACACTACCATGCCCGTGGCCAAGCTGGCAGGATTCCTGGACATGACTGAGCAGGAGTTCCGTATTCAGCTGCTGGTCTTCAAACATAAGATGAAAAACCTGGTGTGGACCAGCGGCATCTCAGCTCTGGATGGAGAGTTCCAGTCTGCGTCTGAGGTTGACTTTTACATTGACAAGGTGTGATAAAGAGTCTGTTCAGTGAAAACAGTGAATTAAACTTTTCTTCATCATCACATACAGTTTAAATAGTATGTCACAGGGCGAGTGGAACGTGCTGCTGCCAAAAGCACTGTTGATTTGGTCAAAATCATACAGTAGGTTGTTTTAAGTGGCTGTGTATGTTTGAGCCCTTTCTCTGTAATGCTCCCACAGGACATGATCCACATTGCTGACACTAAAGTGGCTCGTCGGTATGGAGACTTTTTCATCAGGCAGATCCACAAATTTGAGGAGGTAAGTAGTGATCCATCATGCCTCTTCCTGGAGTTTTGATGCTGATAATTATTTAAGGCATCAGAAGACATTTTTTGTACTAACGACATACTGACCCTGTTTAGACTTGGTTTTGAAAGGTGTCCTGGGCAATTGGATCGCAAATGGACAGTGCAAATTACAAGTGTATACAACCACGAAGGCGGACTGTGATCCAATTACTGAAACCACTTGCCGACGTGTTTGACCGTGTATCTTTTGTAATGTAATTGCTAATGCGTCCTGATGCATCTCCAACAAGGCCATTCAAGGAAAATGCATCATTGATGCAGGACGTGGTGGTTGCTTAGGTGAAAGTATGCCAACACTCAAAAGAAAAAGAAAAAATGCAGAGTAAAGTCAGATACAAATCCATCAGTGTATTTTGATAGCGTTCATATTACACTCACCGGCCACTTTAATAGGCACATCTGTACAACTATATGCAATTCACTGCACCACTTCTGCCTTAATATCTGTTTTTATGAAGCTCAAAATGTCAGTTTTTGGTGAAACTGTCATAAATGTAGAAATTCATTTATATGTTTATTATTGAGGCCATAGTTAAAGGTGGTGGTGTACTGGACTACATTATATTCAGAGGTGTGTCTATATTTTTGTCCTTCCTAGCTACATACATGATATTAGGAAAACCTCTGAATATAATGTAGTCCAGTACACCACCACCTTTAATTATGACCTCAATAATAAACATATTATTGAATTAATGCATTTATGACAATTTCACTAAAAACCGATGCATTTTGAGCTTCATACACAGATGTTAAGGCGGAAGTGTTGCACTGAAGTGCATACAATCGTGCCTAATAAAGTGGCCGGTGAGTGTTACATCCATGTTCAAATCGGATGGTTGTCTTCTTTGGATAGGCAGAATACTGGTGCTTGTCTAGTAACAGACTGAAGTAATAATTGTACTGTGACCTTTGAATATGTGGGAGCGGTAGTGAAATCTCAACACAAATGGTCAGCAGGGAACCTTGGAGATACATGTATATTCACAGGTGTAAAAAGGTGATGTCTCTGTTGTCTACTTGTTTTCGGATCACTGAGATGTATTTTAACACCCAAGATTAAACAGGGCCACCTTGATTCAACATGGAAAAGTATTTTCACTGACATCATTGTATAAAAATCTCCCAAACATACTTGTAATGACTAATTCCATTGCTAGCCTTCTTCTGAAATTGTTTTGATCATAGGACTGCTTGTTATGTTTTGTGCATCAAACTCTGAAAATAATTTTGCCTCTGTCTTTTTACAGTTAAATAGGACCCTGAAGAAAATGCCAGCCGCTGCTACCACTGTGGCGTCAGGAAGCACCACGAGCAGAGGAGTCTGACCAGCAGCAGTGAAGAAGACCTGTTGTTGTTGGTGGTGTTTTGACAGCTATTACTAATGGAAATTTTTTAAGTGTAACCTGGTAATAAAAGGAGGATGTGGCATACTAAAATCCGTTGTTTCTGTCAGTGTGTTTCAGATCCCCTGATTTTTCTATGAATTGATGCTTAAAATGTCCTGCTTGAGCTTTTTGTGCTGCATCAGTTGCCTGATGTTTCTGGTTATTATCCTGTCATTCCACCAACATTTGACGTTGTTGCATATTTCTTTTAATGTCACAGATCATCTAACAATATTTCCCAACACAGATCTCAGGGCTGGTGACAGTAATGACAAATAAAAAAAAATTTACTAAATGAAAATATAGAAAATAAATTTTAAAAACAACACATCAAAAACAGCATCAGTTGTCATAAAGGAAAACAGACATATCACCATAGCACAATATACACAAACTCCAAATATCTAAAATTATTCCCTACCTGTTTTGGTAAGCCAGCATTTTCTTCAAAAATATCTTAATCCCCTCACATATATTTTTTTAATAAAATAAAAAAATAAAGCAAACTGCTCACTTTGAGCATGATTCTTTTACTCCCGCAGGTGGCAGTGTAAAGTCTTTGTGGGCACAATGCCATATTTATGTCTATAAAAACTGGATAGTTCATACCTTTTCTTTACCAAGGCTTGCTTTGACTGCATTTAATAGCAAATTTCTGAAAAAATTAAAACTTTTTTCATGAGTTTCCAGCCTAAAATAATGTTCATACAACTCCCACCATCTTTCATTCATTTCATTTCTTTAAGTTCTTAATGAGGAGTCCCCTCCCACATGACTGATTCAGTCCACACTAAAGATGGAGAGCAGGACCAGGGTCTGAATGTTCACTGCTGCCATGCAGATAGGAAGTGTTTTGTATTTTTGCTATTGATCACATTTTTTTTTTAAATTACCACAGTACTTAATTGCAGAAAGGGCCCCTCTTCCTCTTGGTTTCAGGTGAAAACGTCACTCAAAGTATGAGTGGGGAAAATAATAGAAGTGCTCTTTTTTGCATTAAACGTCTGTTATAATTTCCCACCAACAGAATGCATCTAAGATCTAAAGAGAAAAGTCTTACTGTCCCATCCTTACTCCTCCAGCACAGATTGCAAAATGTCAGAACATTATGAGGAACTGTCATTATCTCAGTTCCTCCGATGGCCATCCGCTGGTCTGGGTATGTGTAGCTTCATTTTCTTGAGTGTGTTTACATGAGTGTATGCAGCCCAGGTGCAACGTCAAAGAATTAGTGAGAATGAGGCACCTTAAGAACATGATAAGGTCACAGTTCAACAAGCTTCTCCCATAGGGAGGCTTAGTCTCTCCTTTAGACTTAGCTCTTCAGATGAAAGTGGATGACATCAGTTGGTTTTGTCATGCTGAAGACAGGTGTTCTGCTAATGATGTTCCAACTCCTAAATGTCATTTGAACAAACCTTCTCCTGAAGCACTTAATGTGGGACCATCTTCAGCATAAGATCCACTAAAACCAACTCTGGTAAGTTCCCTTGAAGGCTATCTCACAGATGCACTGAGGTTAGCCGATGAGTTGTCGGTAAGTTCCCTTGAAGGCTATCTCACACTGAGGTTAGCCGATGAGTTGTTATCCGCTGGTCTGGGTATGTGTAGCTTCATTTTCTTGAGTGTGTTTACATGAGTGTATGCAGCCCAGGTGCAACGTCAAAGAATTAGTGAGAATGAGGCACCTTAAGAACATGATAAGGTCACAGTTCAACAAGCTTCTCCCATAGGGAGGCTTAGTCTCTCCTTTAGACTTAGCTCTTCAGATGAAAGTGGATGACATCAGTTGGTTTTGTCATGCTGAAGACAGGTGTTCTGCTAATGATGTTCCAACTCCTAAATGTCATTTGAACAAACCTTCTCCTGAAGCACTTAATGTGGGACCATCTTCAGCATAAGATCCACTAAAACCAACTCTGGTAAGTTCCCTTGAAGGCTATCTCACAGATGCACTGAGGTTAGCCGATGAGTTGTCCTAGACTACACACACTCCTCCTCGCATCCTCCTCAACCTTGTCAGGGTGTCGGTGTAGAGGCACAAGGACACACATGAGTCATGGTTGGGCTCAGACCAGCGAGGCCTCGGCTAGTCATAACTCTGTGATTTCTAGGGGGGACTGTGACAGGTTGTCCCCGTCCTTGTGACGGTGCATTGGGGTAGACTTGGCAGACTCTGTGCGGGCATTGCGTTCCAAATAAAGCCCCCCATCAGCATTCAGTGCCTCCAGAGAACGTGCCAGGGCACGCTGGTCATCCTCAGGTAGGCTGTTGAGGTCAGAGGTCAAGAGGGTACCTGTGCTGCCATGGACCACGTGAACACCGTCGGGACCCTTCAACTCCACAGGAAGCTTATGTTTGAAGCGCAGAGTGCCACGACCTCCGCCTGTGCTCAAACGCTCATCCTCATCGTCGTCTAGATCACTCTGGACCAGCTGTTGAGGGAGAAGAATGACAAGATGAGAGGGGACAAATAACATGTTCATGCATCAGACAAAAATACAGAAGAGTTGTAAGAAACAGCTAAGAGCTGGAAAGAGGTAAACCAGTAGAAGGAAAGGCTTTGCAGAGCAGTCAGTGTTTCACTTGCAGCAAAAGATGACAACCCGAAAATGCAGGGAGACGATAGATCAGCAGAGGATAACAGATGTTAAACCAGACCTGGATTAAGTAGGTGCAAACTATTCTTGGCATGAACTTGTTTGCAAAAACTGCACAGTTGGGGGTTTTGGCATCAAAGCAACCTTCAATTTGACTCAAAGTCTGGTTCATGGGATCATAGAAACTAGTGAGAAGGTGCATCATCAGAGCAGCAGGCAGGATGTCAGAATGGGAAATCAGAGGAGTGATCACTGTTCAGCAGTGTCAGACAGGAATAGCACAGCAGCAGGTGAAGATGGTAATCCATTTTTCTCGATCCCACCTCAGTGACTGATGAGTGATCTCCCTGAGTGTTGGATACGGTGACAAGTCGGGCTGCAAAGAGCTTTTTCAGCCTCAGGTAGTCATCCAGGACCACCTTGAGGAGGGAACCCTGACAGGACAGCAGTTACAATCAAACAGAGTTCTTCATGTTATCCAAATCACACACCCCTCACTGTCACACTGGTCATAAAAGAGAATACACAAAGGGGATGTCAAGACCCTTATCTAAACATCTGGGTTGTTGTGTTCAGACAATAACCGAGACCTTGTTTATCATGCCAGCCATCTTTATTCTACCCCTTGCCCTTCCGACCTACCTCCCACTAGGTGTCACATTTAACCTATCATTACATGGGTCTCGGCAACATATCCTCAAGTCCTTGGGTTCTCTCTCTCTCTGTTTTGCTCTCAGGACACACTGGAGGAAGTCTTAGGTCCTGTCCTCTGACTTTACCCCCCAATGCATTTTGGGAAGGATGTAAGGAGAGCACACATGCCCAACAACAGGAGGTTTCTGAGATTGGGCATTTTCCATCCCTGGCTAATCTAACATGCAGGTGTCTCACCTTGATAGGCCCCTCCCTCATGATCTGGCCCAGTTTAGAGATGTTGTCATACTCCTGAATGGCTGCTCTTAAGTAACGATCATCCTCTGGCTTCGCTTGAGGCTCACGACCAAATGTACCCTGTAAAGACAACACACATGGTTGCTTAAAAATAGTATGATAGTAAATCCGTGTAACGGTTGACTCAGTGAGCAGTGCCATTACAAATCATATGAATTCACCATGCCTTTATTCTCCCTGGAGTAAAATATGACCTATTAAACGCAGAGTATTGTTTTGAGATACTTTAATGGTGATTAATGGTGATACTGACATGAGTGCGTGCAGGGCTGTTCCACAGGTCAGGTATCTCACTCAGGTTCTCCGGTAGATCATCCTCATGGTCAGCCTGTGCAGCCAGCTCCAGGTTATGACAGAATGGGTCTAGCCACACTGGATTAGCCCTGCAGAAGCAAAGAGCATTATACACATCTGCCTTTGAAGTTGTTTTATTAGATTGTGTGAGAGTTCTAAAATTAAAACAATAGAGATACCAGCCTTATTTCAAATAAGCTGAATTAAAATTAATGAAAATTTTGGATGTTAGTTTACTTAATGGAATTGTGACATTCTGGCCTTTTTGACTTTAATTCTTGAAATTTCAGAAAAGCTTGTCCTTGATCTTCACAATAATACTCAACTAAAACAACACTGACAGAAATATTTGAAAACTAGACTTGCAGGAAAACAACACAAAGCAATATTCAGTGAGAATTCCCTTTAGGTAGTGTGTACCACGGAGATGTGAAAATGCCATCGCTATTATCTCACCCCTCAAAAGAGTACTTGTTAGTGTTGGGCATGTCCAGGATATCCATTAAACCCTGGTTCCCTGGAACAGAGAAACAGCCTCGCTGCACTAAACTGACACATACAGGTATCGTGCAATAACATGGTAAAAGCCACATCCTGAAGTAAAAAGCTCCTGGGACCGTCCCTTCAACCTAGCTGCTTCTCACCTGTTGATCCTGCAACGATAGCTTTCAGTTTCCTCTGGTGTCTGCAAGACAGCAAAAAAGGAAGTCATAAGAAGGTAAACATGCTGATTCTGCTGCTCAAACAAAGACAATACAACACAGAGCATGCCTCAGCACATACAAAGTTTATAAATGTAAATTAATATGAAATTGCACTATTTCACAGAATGACAGATTCTTACACTCTGCGGTAATGCCAGTTCATAGTGGCAAACAAAATTCCCGCCAAGCACAGCAGCACAGCCAGAATAATGATGACTAGCTGCAAGGGAAAAAAGTTGCACTGTATAAGTTTAAGATCTGTGAAACATAAAACATCTGGGACAGGTGTCTGGAGGTTCCAGCTTTGTAGACCTGTAGTGTGGAGATGTCGTCAGGCAGTTTGTCAGTGACAGCAGGCTGAACATCCACCACGTTGTAACTTCTGAACAGGTTTCTCAGCTGTTCCTTGTTCTCATCGATCATCTGAATGACCCTGCATAAAACACCACAACAGAGATAAACTCATGACAGAATATACAGTAATCCATGTACTGTAGAGCCTGTGTTAAAGGACAGATAGGCCTTACAATGCATATACTGCAGTATATAAATGACAGTGTTACCACATAACTCTGGAGTGAAAGATTTAATGAGGATAAAGGAGACCTCTGAACATCTAGGATGGTGTTGGTCTGATTGTTGACAACGTGGATTAGCATGTCTGTCTGAGCATAGTTCACTCTGCCCTTCTGGTCCACATGGAACTGGATAAAAGGAGAGAGACAAAGGCACCAGATATTTATGCAACACAAACAAAAATGTGGAAGTTACATAAAGCACATTACCATAAAGTAGCCTGACCTGTATGTCATCTAAGTTGACAATGGCTCCGGTAATGTTGGACAGCAGCTTGATGAAGTTCTCCTGGTTTTCACGGACCAAATCAGGGATCTCATTGAAGACTATCTTGACCCTTTGGTCATCCCGGAGAATATATATATTCACATTGGCGGTTGTGCTGTGTCCAGCGATGTCGCATGCCAAGATCTCAAGCTGAAAATAGCCTGGATTGTAGGCCGTGAAGAGGTCATAGGTTCTGATGATACCATCTGTCAGTCCTGTGGAAATGATGGGACAGAATATTGTCTCTACATACAGTAGAATGCGAATTGGACTCAATAGCAAACAAGCTCCCAGTATAAAAAATAAATATAAAGGTCGTGTTAAATTTTGATTCAATAACATTTCATATTATTGACTAACACCAAAGGAAAAAATCTTTCAGAAACAACCTTATTCTTCTAACAAATATTGCCTGTGTATCCAATGTCTGATACATCTTCTTCCTGTCATAGATGTCACAGAGTTCCATAGTGAAAAAACACATCAGTGAACTTGTCAAAGAGAGAGAGGCCGAGGAAGTGAAAGTATTGAGATGCAAACTAAAGCATTATTAATTTGGGCTTTTTCATGGAATTTGGTGGCAATCACAAAATTTTGGCTGAAAATTTTTCATGTTCACATAGTACTACTTGTGCTTTTATGACATTTTTGACAAGTAAAAATCTATCAAAACCAAACATGTAACAGGCAGACACTGTATGGGCAGTTTGTTGTGTTAAACAGGCCATACATCTAAAATGTATATATTGTTTCAAAACAGTGTGGATAGCGTATGTAAAGAAGCTCACCGATGGTGAAGATGCTGCCAACATCCTCACTACCATTGCTCTGTGTCTGGAAGTAGCGGATTGTAACGATGTGATACTGGACCAAGCTGTTGTTGCCGATGTCATTGTCTATAGCCAGGACCTGGATCAGATCTGAGCCCACTTTGGCGTTTGCTGCAACTCCTAAAACAAAGAAGCAAAGTGGGATTGTTATAGTGAATTTACATCGACTACTATACACATACACTACATGCAGGAATCCACATTACCTGCAGTGTACTCAGCCTTGGTGAAGCGTGGTGTCTGATCATTGATGTCTTCCAGTTCAATTCGAACTTCCAGCAGGCTGGGGTCCTGGGCAGGGTCCAGGGGTTTGGGTTGTGCTGCCCTCATGCTCCTAGGAGGAGCCCAGCTCCTGTTGCTAGAAGCCTTGACGATGATGGAGTAAGCTGGGATCACCTCCCGGTCCAGTTCCTTGAGGACCTTCAGCTCTCCATTTATACTCAAGCCAAAGTTCCCATCACTGTTTCCCCCTGCAGGAATTGATGAAAGTGATTCTTCTTCAGTAATCTCAAGTACAAAAGCAGCTTCAGAAAGAAAAAAGATATATCTATACAAATGTCCTCATTAGTCCTAAACTTTTGAAGTACTTTCATCTGACCACACAATGAATACAAGAGTGTCCAGTTAAACAGTATGGATATACTCTAAATTCTTTTAAATCCACTACCTTACTTTGGGCAGACTAACATCAGTAATTTCTCTGATAGATAAAAGCTTTATCATCATGAATGTCAAAATCTTATAACATCTGGCTACTGTGTGTGTGAAGACCACTGTAGTACCTGCAATGAAGTAGTAGACGATGGCATTGGAGCCTTCATCGGCATCCAAAGCTCTGGTTATGTTCCCCACGACAGTACCTGGAGGGGATTGCTCAAGCACTGTGAGCAACTGGTACGGCAAGGCGCCACGCTGAGGTGCACACACATACATACAGGCCAACAAATATACGTCAGTTTAACAGCAGTTTTTCTGTACAGGCAACTGCATTATGATGTACTTAGAGTGCTTCATACTCACCGGTGGCTTAAGGAAGACGGGTTCGTTGTCATCAATGTCCAAAAGTGCCACCTGCAGAGGCTGCGTGGTCTCGTAAGGCACCGGTTGGCCCATGTCACGAGCCACAATTATAAGCTGATCGAGTTGTTTGCACTCGGTTAGAGATATACATACCTATGCACTCAAGTACAGTACATCAACTGCACAAACACACACACATATTGAGAGCTGACTCACGCTATAGAGGGCCTGTTTCTCTCGGTCCAGTTTCACAGTAGTTGTTATGACTCCAGACATGGCATCAATGTGGAAGTTTTCCCAGTCTCTGTTACCTGATCCGGTCTGCAAGAAGGCATAACGGACCTCTCCGTTCACACCCTCATCAGCGTCCGTTGCATGGGCTTCATACACCAGCACTCCTGGTGGCTGCTCCTACATGAAGATCAGTATGTGTTTGTGTGAGCTTCTTGATTGATCTAACAAACTGTGTAACTCGAATACTAGAACTTTATTTTATGAGGGTTTCTTTGTTCATCAGATGATCAAAAAAATGAAAAACGAAAAGGAACGTGCACACACACATGCTGACAAAGGCTTGACATAGCGACAGCAGATACCTCTAAGATATGGATGATAGTTCCATTGGCGGGCCTGACAAACACAGGTCTGTTGTCGTTAACGTCTATGACTATGATGATCAGGTCTGCAGTGCCCCACAGTGGAGGACGCCCCTGGTCTGTAGCCACCACGGTCAGGTTGAAACTCTCCGAAGACTGAAGCAGGCGGCGAGAACGGATCAGTCCTGTGTTTGGATCCAGGGAGAATGCATCTACAAGAACAGAGAAGTTTTGCCATCATGTTAGCCTCAAACATGCCCTTTCAAAATTTTAGCAGCAATATTTTCAACATTAAATACTGTACATAATACAAAAAAAATAAAGTTACTGGATGAATATTTACTGAACTTTAGGAAATATTAAATTATATTGCAATAAAGTAAATAGTACTTTCAGAATAATTATTGTAACTAGATGATGCTACTGAGGATTTTATGAGTGTATTCATACCTGAATGGGGTCCCAACATGGTGTAAAGTACTGCTCCATTCTCTCCTTCATCCAGGTCAATAGCCTTCACTGTGATCACAGACGTCCCACTGGGCTCATTCTCAAACACGCTGGTGTTGTACACCCTCTCCGTAAAACGTGGTCGATAGTCATTAATATCAAGAACTGTCACTAGGACCTGAAGGGCGCCAACAGGCAGATGATGTACGAGGAACAATTAAAGCACAAGAAATTATTTTCTATAACAGGTTATATTCAGGATACATGGCATATATTATCAGAGGATTTTAACTTATTATATCAGCAAAATCATGTTGATTCTACTAGGGCACAAAACCTACAGATGACAGATATTTCATAAGAAACTATGGGAAACAAAGGTTTCATAGACCAGATGTGGTAGCTTCCATCTATCATATTCCAGCATCTCACTGACATAAGTGTTTAGTCACCGGAAGCCCCTATAGATGGTATTTGGTGTTAATGTGCACTAATTATATGAGTGTAGAGTTTGCAAACATATATTCAAATTGTCATTCACAAGAGATCCTTGTTTAATTCTAGCCAGTTATGTCTACCTGGACAGCGTTCTCTCGCCTGTTGTTGGGACTGCCACCAGGGTTGTCTCGGGCAACGGCGGTTAGAGTGTAATGGTCCTTTGTCTCTCTGTCCAGAGGAGAGAGGACGTAGATCTCACCCTGGCACAGAGAAGAAATACAAGTACTGACTGGGAGTGGTGGCTGAATCAAGACCTTTATTTGAGTCAGAGCCAGGCCCATCAAAAAAGTAGAAGAAAAGTAGGAGCAGTGCATAGTCCCTTTTACTTTAGGACTAGTAGTGCTTATGTATGAGTTAACTTACAGTAGACGGTTTTATGCCAAACTTGCCCTCTCCGTCTACCAGGCTATACTCAATGACAGAAAAGAGGCCAGAATCAGCATCTGTAGCGCTGACGCGAACTATGGTGGTACCCAGGTTCACATTCTCAAACACTGGCTCCTGTAAATACATATAAACACACACTTTGGCTCAGAGACACTACAAGAATAAAATTATTTTAATTTTAATAAAAAAAACAACAACTTCTAAATACAGTGCATTACTAAACTACTGTCCTAATTATTACTGTAATATTCTCAACATACACAAAATTTACATGAAAAACTGACTTCGCTAGAAGTTAGTTAACAATGGTAAGTGCATACTGCACAGAAAATGTTCAGGGTTTTATTTTAAACAATTAAGCATATATTTGTTTCTTAATATTTTGTTCATTACCTGATATGAGGGTTGTAGGAAGATAGGATTGTTGTCATTGACATCCACAATACAGAGATAAACTGGCAGCTCAGTTATCCTGGGAGGAGTGCCATGGTCCTGGGCCTGGATTGTGAAATTAAGCCACTGTATCTGCTCAAAATCTACAGTCTGGTTCGCTACGACCTTACCTGAAAACATTGCAATGCAGTGATAGATCCAGATATGATTCCATCCAGTCAAACTTATAATCAGACTTTACATGATGACAACAAGGAGGTAACACATAAAAGCGTATAAAGCTTAGAATATATCTTAAATGAAACTGGGAATTTTCTTTTTCTGTATTTGCTACCTGATGTAAATTTCTGCCCTGCACACCTCAACAAATGTGCTGGTGGTCATACCAATGGCAGGGTCCTCCAGTCTGACGTAGCCTCCTCGGGGCAAGTGAAGCAGCTGGTAGGTGACCTGGCCGTTGGGACCTTTATCCGGGTCTACAGCTGAGACTGACAGCAGTGTTGTGCCTGGCTGAGCTCCTTCTAAAATCTTCTCTGTGAAATTGGTCACTCCAAAGGGCCGGAAACGAGGGGCATTGTCATTTACATCCAACACGTTGATGGTTAGTCTCGCTAAAGAGAAGGTCACATTAAGAAGACAGTGAAAATAACTAAGAAACTGAATGTATGAAATTGTAGACTGGTTTCATGTTAAACCTTAACTTACCATTAGGAACACTCTGTGACTTGTCAATAACATCGCTGGCATTGTCATGTACAGATACAATGATCTCAAATGTAGCTACCAGCTCTCTGTTGATCGGGTTCCGTACGAACACTGCACCTGAATATTCATAGAAACACATCTAATCATTTCCCTATTATCATAACATCATGAATAAAGCAAAGCTCTCCAAAGCATGATATTAAATGGCTAAGATCAATGTCTCACCAGTGTGTAAATCAATACCAAAGGATTCCTGCAGGCCATCCACTGGCTTGTTCCCATCATCCTTTGCCTCCACTGAGATGATGTAATACTCCAGCCGGGGATGCAGATCTAGGTCCTCAGCAGTCAGAGTGGCCACCACTACACCAGGCGGCGTGGACTCGTTGACATTTATCATGGTTACGGGCTCCAAAAAACGGGGCCGTGAGTCATTTACATCATCCAAGATGACTGTCAGGGTGGCTGTGCCTGTCAAAGGGGGTGTGCCACGATCAATTGCCACAACGACCAGGCGATAGGACTCGCGCTCTTCTCTATCTAGAGTGGTGTTGCCTACCAAGACAGCCCCAGAGAGCGGGCCAACCACAAAGCGATCCTGAGCACCGCTTTCCAGCCGATACATCAGCCAGCCATTAGAGCCAGAGTCAGCATCAGTGGCGGACAGCTGAGTCACCACCACACCTGGAAGAGGCACAGTTAAGACTGGGACACAAAAACACATACTGTGACTAGGAATTGCCATTCCCAACATGTAACCCCAGAACCCACACACGGGGAAATGCAACAAAGCTAAGTGTACAGCATCACACAAAGAACTTTAAACTGTTATTTCAATATACTTTCCTGTCAGTGACAACTTAAACTTGGTGAACACTGTGGATTATATTCAAGTCATATTCCTCCCAGGACACGCATACACACAGATCATTAGGCACAAGCCAACACACGCACCAGTGGGGCTGTTCTCAGGGAGTTGAACGCTGAAGCTGGATGGGCTGAAGACAGGAGGGTTGTCATTTTGGTCCAGGATGGTAACTGTTAGAGGGACACTGCTGTTTAAACCTCCTATGTCCTCTGCAACTAGAAGGACCTCTACCCGAGGATCTTGAAATGCCTCACGGTCCAACTTCGCCCCCTGCCGCACAAGTATTACACCTGAAGGGAGACGCAGAGAGACATTATCATTTGCACTGTGGTTTTCTAATGTTCCTCTGTGTCTGCTTGCTGAGAAGTCATAATATTACCAGTATCAGCATCCACAGTAAAGAGGTCCACCCTGGGTCCTAGCAGGCGGTACTTCACCACAGCATTAGGCCCGATGTCCTTATCCTCAGCCAGAACCGGTCCATTTAACACTGTTACAGTGCTGCCTAAAGGGCCGACAGAAGTAAAGTGTGGGGCAGGTGGAGAATTTGATGTCAAATTTATCTTTATATTCATATACTATATCACATTTTTATATTATCCTTGTATATTTATCCTTATATTCATACTTAAATACATGTATGTGAATTCTCCCTGTTTGTACTAATGAGTATGCCTGCAGGAAAAGCTAGATGTGGGAAAACAGCTCATTATTTCTTCTGTAGCTAGATAAGGTTGGATGGCCTTCATTTTGCTATCTTGCCCGGTCTCTGACTTTTACTGACCTGCCTTGTCCTCCCATGAGATACTGACCACCTGGCTTTGAATGTCATACTTAAAAAGTATGTGTGAATAATGAGCTCTTTGTCAGACTGATCTCTCTACGCAAGAGTTTAGGCCTCTGTCCTCTCAGCTGAGATACTTTGTACTAAAACCATAAAAGGCATCACTGGAGTAAGTTCATTTGAACTTGCATTAGAGGGGTGGATAACTATAGTAACAATTTCCACCACAGAGAAGTCAAACAACCACAACCAAATCAGACTTTTTTATACTAAGTCAGTTACCACCTGCTGCTACATCTATTACTAAAACAGTAAATGTGACTTGAGCATATTCTGGGAAAATGCTAGAGTGACACTGATAATTCTGATCATCAACAAGATTATCACTCATATTCTGTATTCAAATAATCAGTGGTTACAGACTGGCCCATGCAAACAAATCCACTTTTAAAGCTCTAGAGTAACAGCACAAAACCTTTACTTAATATGTGCTGTATATAAACTAGTTCAGGAAGTGGGGTAGACAGCGTTTGCACACTATGCACGGTGCTGCACTTATTATTGCCCCACACACAAAGGAAAAGAGAGAGAGACAGGCACACCAGCCTGGATGCTAACCTGCTGCAGAGTTTTCAGTGATTTCACCCCTGTAGCTGGTCTTGGTGAATATAGGCCTGTTGTCATTTTCATCCAGAATAGTGATCACCAAGAGGTCTGAATCCTGGTGGAGTGGGCACAAAAAGTGGATGAAACAGTTATATAAGCAAAGGATTATGTGGTACAGCAAAAGATGAGGGTGAGGAGCAAAGAAAAATAAGTTAATGAGCAGTCAAAGAGGCAAACTGCCACAAAGCACTACACTGTTTTGTTGAGGTTAAATAGCCAGGTTTTGCAGTTGTTGTCCTGTGCACACTACTACTACTACTACTACTACTACTACTGGTGGTTAACGTGTTGGCAGCTCTTGGCTAGAACAATTTCTCACCTTTACAAAGAGAAAATTTTGATTTGTTGATTTGATTTTGATTTGATTTATTCTTTCAAGCATGTAAAGACAGTTGATATGTCAACATTTGAAACATGCAATCGACAACACTGTGTATTATTTAAAGTAAATTGTGTGGGTGAGAGTCTTATCATTAGCCAGATATATGACGCATACTGTAGGCCCATGAAACATAGTTTAAATCTACAATAGTACTGAAAACTCTATTGCTGAGTTTTGTAATTTTCTGAAATGAACCTCTGGTGCAGAAAATCCTACACATGGAATAAGCTGACGTGGACTACATTCAGCTCATTCACATTATGATCAAAACTTAGTGGGAAATACCATCTTTGAGTTTCAAGTTGTTATTTTTTTTTTACAGCTTGAAATTCAGATTTGCCTGTCATTATAAATTCTGTAAAAGTGGCTTGAAAAGACAAGGTTTTACATCCCTGGCACGCACTTACAGTTGTTTCAGTGGTCTTTATCTGAAACTGCCAATGTGGAAATGTAAGTGCTTGCGGCATAGTGTACATGCGAGAATGAGGTTACCCTGCGAGCAATGCGAGGGTTCTCAGGGTTGTCTTTGACAGTAATCGTGAGTCTGTATTCAGCCACTCGCTCTCTGTCAAGCGGCCTGTTCACTTGAACCACACCTGTCTGGAGGCAGAGAGGGGAAGAAAGAAGTCACATCTGTGTTCAGAGATCCATTCCTTACATTATGATATGGTTTTAAAATCTGAATCAGAAAATCAGAATCAGAATCTGCTTTATTGGCCAGGTGTGACGGACACACAAGGAATTTGTCTCTGGTACATCGACTTTCAATGTGCAAACAGTAAGCCAGCATAAGGCAGTGTAATATAACTAAATAAGCAGTATTAACAGCAACATTGACAGCAACAAACAGTGCAAGCAATGCAGAATAAGCAGTATAAACAGAAGTAAACAATGCAGACAACAAAGGAATGTTTGTTGAAATGAGATAAATAGGGATTAAAGTAGAGTACTTAAAACTAGAGACCTGTATGGATCTGTATAATCTGTACAATGTATATACACAGGTATTGCACTGAGGGTTATTGTCCAGTCATACTGTCGTTGGTTAAGTGTTCATCAGAGTAACAGCTCGGGGGAAGAAACTGTCCCTGTGCCTGGTTCCTTTGGTGTACAGTGACCTGTAATGCTGTCCAGAGCGGAGGAGTTCAAACAAATTATGTCGCGGGTGTGAGGGGTCAGCAGTGATCCTCTCCACCCTCCTTTTGACCCATGAGGTGTACAGGTCCTCCATGGAGGGCAGGCTCACACCAATGACCTTTTCTGCAGTCCTGACTGTCCGCTGAAGTCTGTACTTGTCCTGTTTGGTTGCTGAGCCAAACCAGACAGTGATGGAGGTGCAGAGAACAGACTCGATGATTCCTCTGTAGAACTGTATCAGCAGCTCCTGGGGCAGGTCGAACTTCCTGAGCTGGCACAGGAAATGCATCCTCTGCAAAGTCGACAATTTGTCTGACCCGCCCATCCTATCACCATAAAGCTTGCCACCATAAATGCATGACTAGCACCAACAAACATTAACCTTAAACTTACAGTGATAGATCATCTAGCCACCTGTGGTCAGCGTAATAATCTGAGAACAAAACAGCAGCATATCACTATGTGGAGAGTGCACCAAAAATATCAAATTACATACAAACATAAAGTGTGTAGAGTGAAAACAGCAGAGGGGAGAGCACACATCCCTGGGGGGCACCTGTGCTTATTGTCCGGGTGCTGGATGTGGTTTTCCCCAGCCTCACCTGCTGCTTCCTGTCTGTCAGAAAGCTAGTAATCCACTGACAGGTGGAGGCAGGCACAGTGAGCTGGGTCAGTTTGGCGTGGAGGATGTCCGGGATGATGGTGTTGAACGCTGAGCTGAAGTCCACAAAGAGGACCCATGCATACATCCCTGGGGAGTCGAGGTGTTGCAGGATGTAACGCAGTGCCATTTGCACCGCATCGTCCACTGACCAGTTTGCCTGGTAGGCGAACTGCAGGGGATCTACGATGTCCTTCAGGTGGGCCAACACCAGTCTTTCAAAGGACTTCATAACTACAGATGTCAGGGCGACAGGTCTGTAGTCGTTCAATCCACTGATGGGGGTTTTCTTGGGAACTGGGATGATGGTGGAGCGTTTGAAGCAGGAGGGGACTTCACACAGCTCCAGTGACCTGTTGAAGATGAGTGTGAAGATGGGGCCAGCTGATCAGCGCACACTTTCAAGCAGGAGGGGGTCACGCCATCTGGGCCTGGTGCCTTTCTAATCCTTTGTTTTTTAAAGATTTTCACAGATTGTTAGAGGTGGGGGGCTGGAGGGAAGGGTGGTGATTGTCGGGGGAGCAGCTGCTGGGACTGAGGTGGGGAGGGTGAGGGGGGAGTGTTGTTTATCAAACCTGCAGTAGAACGCATTCAGGTGGTCTGCTAGTTGACGGTCCTCTACAGCAGGGGGGATGGTTTTCTATAGCCAGTGATGGTTTTCAGGCTCCCCCACACAATTGGCTGTCGTTGGGTGAAACCTGAGCTTTCAGTTTTTCAGAGTAGCTCCTCTTTGCTGCTCCGATCTCCCTTGTCAGTGTGTTCCTGGCCTGGCTGTACAGAGTCCTGTCCACACTTCGGTAAGCCTCCTCTTTGGCACGACAAAGCTGCTTGAGTCTTGCTGTAAACCAGGGCTTGTTGTTGTTGTATGTGCAGAAGGTCTTTTTGGGCACACACACATCCTCACAGAAACTGATCTAAGATGTCACAGTGTCAGTGAGTTCTTCCAGGTCTGGAGCTTTAGTCTCAAATACACTCCAGTCTGTGCAGTTTATTACATATTACCTGTGTACACCCCTGTCCTACTACAGTATTCGCCTTTTTTACGCTCCCTTTGCTAATGATGAAGGAAAGGCAGTATTTGTATGTACTCAGTGATATATTTATGCTGTGCATTGTTTCCTGTCACCATCTGCTGATGTGTGAATATATATATAGCAAGGATATACGAGTGAGCTGGAACACCTGTACCAGGTCAGGTTAAACTGACAACCTAATGTGTGATCTAATCTGGGAGCTGCCAGTCACAATCCTCCATGCTTTTCCCTTTTTTAAACCTCTGCTCCACTGTTACTTCATCAGTGAGTTGTGTTTTTCTGTGCCTTCTGCTTAAACCATACCATCCATTTCTCTCACCGTGTCAACGATGTAGAAGGCTCCATCCAGGTTGCCCGCAGTGATGTTATAAGTGAGCAGTGCATTGCGTCCGCTGTCTGCATCTTTTGCTTGGACTGTGGCCACAGAGGTGTGTATAGAGGCACCCTCGCTCACACTGGTGTTGAAAGGCAGGTTCAGAAGAACTGGATCATTATCATTGATGTCCAGCACAAGCACCCCCACCATGACCTGAGGAAAACACAAGTCATAAGTTAAACTTCCGGTTCATGCTTATGCTAGTGATCCACATCTCATTTAGGTGGCCCATTTTAATAGACCATTAAAAAATATGCATCTTTCCCATATTTCTTATAATCCAATTAAAAATATTATTAAGCAGTTGCTATAACATGTTTATGACTTAAATGTCAATATGGAATATAACCTGTCCCAAATACTTGCCTGGGATTTTAAACTTGACTTAATGTAAATAAAGACCAAGGTTCCTTTTAGAGACATATTACATGTGTAACTGTGTAGCTAATGAATTTGGCAGAATATGATATACGAGTCAAATTATTTTTGTTGTATGTGATTATTTTCCACGCAAACCAAATTACAGCGCAGAAGATCCTGATCGTTCAAGACAACATGGCAAGTATGTGTGTGTTTATAGAATAATGCCTACCGAGCTGTTGCGAGACGGGGTGCCCAGGTCTCGAGCTGTGACTGTTATATTGTAGAAGGCCATGGTCTCTCTGTCCAGCTCTACATCTCTCCTCACCCGAAGCTCACCCTCCACTGGAGCAATCATGAACTCATCTGACAGAGAGACAGAGGCTCAGGGATACAGGTTTCAACAACAGATCGTAATCTCCACAGAAAACCAGTCCTGTACTGACTTTGGAAGTCTCCACCGGTGATGCTGTACTCTACTTGGCCATTGAGCCCGGAGTCTTGATCGCTGGCTTTGAGTGTGCAGACTCGGGGTCCTGGCTGGCCCTCAGTAACCTCGAAGGGGCCCTCGTAGGCTCTGGGGAAAGTAGGTGTCACATCGTTCACGTCTATGACGTTTACAAGCACCTAAAAAGGGACGAAGAGTGAGTTTTTAACATGTTCATCGAGAGAGGTGAGTGAGGATGTGTCATGTACAGCATGTGTGGAAGAGAAAAGGTGGATACCAACAGTTAGCTAAATTCACACTAAGCTAATATACAGTGCCTATAAAAAGTATTCACCCCCTTGGATGTTTTACCCTTTTATTGATTTTATCAATCAATCATGGTCAATATAATTTGGCTTTTTTGGCAAAAAAAAAATTATAAAAATCCTCTTTAATGTCAAAATGAAAACAGGTTTCTACAAAGTAATGTCAATTAAATAAAAATATGTAATGGGAAATAAGCCCACCTTTAAAATGACTGACCTAATTGGTGGACACCAAACACTGCACATCACCACAAACACACCATCCCCACTGTGAAGCACGGTGGTGACAGCATCACAATGCTTCTCGGCAGCCGGCCCTGGAAGGCTTGTAAAGGTAAGGTAAGGTAAAATGGATGTGGCAAAATACAGAAAAATCCTGGAGGACAGTCTTATTCATTCTGCAAGAGAACTACGGTTTGGGAGAAGATTTATTTTCCAGCAAGACAATGACCCGAAGCATACAGCGAAAGCTACAGAGAAATGGTTTAAAGACAACGAGGTGAGTGTTCTTGAGTGGCCGAGTCAAAGCCCAGACCTCAATCCAACAGAGAATTTGTGGCTGGACTTGAAAAAGGCTGTTCATGCCTGAACTCCGTGCAACCCGGCAGAGCTTGAGCAGTTTTAAGACATACAACGACTGTCGTCTGGGTTCTTCACCAGTCCAAGCTTTATGAGAGAGTGGCAAAGAGAAGCCACTGTTGAAAAAAACTCATATTAAATCTCGACTAGAGGTCGGCAAAAGGCATGTGGGAAACCCCATGGTCAGGTGGAAGAAAGTTCTTTGGTCTGATGAGACCAAAATGATGCTTTTTGGTCAGACAAGACGTTATGTTTGACGCCAAACACTGCACATCACCACAAACACGCCATCCCCATTGTGAAGCACGGTGGTAGCAGCATCATGGTATGGGGATGGGCGTCAGCAGCCGGCCTTGGAAGGCTTGTAAAGGTAGAGGGTAAATGAATGCAGCAAAATCTAGGAAAATCCTGGAGGACGATCTTATTAAGTTTGCAAGAGAACTACTGTTTGGGAGAAGATTTGTTTTCCAGCAAGACAATGGCCTGAAGCATACAGCGAAAGCTATACAAAAATGCTTTAAAGAAAACAAGGTGAGTGTTCTGGAGCGGCCAGGTCAAAGCCCAGACCTCAAGGGCTGCTCATGCCCGGTCCCCACGCAACCCGGCAGAGCTTAAGCGGTTTTGCAAAGAATGGAGTAAATTTGCAGTGTCCAGATGTGCAAGCCTAACAGAGACCTATCCACACAGGCCCAGTGCTGTGACTGCAGCCATCGGTGCATTTACTAAATATTGACTTGATGTGGCAGAATATTTATGCACTCACTTATTTCACATTACATATTTTTATTTAATTGACAATTCTTTTTAGAAACCCATTTTCACTTTGACATTAAAGAGGCTTTTTGTAATTTTTTTTTGCCAAAAAAGCCAAATTATATTGACCATGATTGATTGATAAAATCAATAAAAGGGTAAAACATCCAAGGGGGTGAATACTTTTTATAGGCACTGTACATATGCCACATACTGTACTGTATGTCTGCCTCTACGACTATAAGATCAAGAGTCATTTTGCTGTGTTGAAATATTGATGTTATGATAGAAAGAAGACCACAGAACTGAGGTGCATGTATACAGAAGATCCTCAATGTCATCTATATTAGTTTATTTTTATCTGCAGAGAGGTTGTTGTTAAAAGAAACTATGAAAAAGTGTGTCTCATTTGCATCTTTACTGTTGTGCTTGATGTCAGGCGAAGAGCAAGCTTTGGACACTGGTCTGTTGCTGTGACGACCAGTGTGTAGTGTCCATTGCTGATCTCATAGTCCAGCTCCTTTACAGCTGTAATTCTCCCCTAAATACACACATCATATACAGAAGGTTAACATATGATGTTTCTCACTGTTGTCTGCACCACTTCAGTACACCGGTTTTCATGTCTCACCGTGATGTTGTTGATTTGGAAGGTCTGGATTAGGTTACCCTGAGCAATAGCATATCGTATGGTGCCATTCAGACCCTCGTCTGGGTCAATGGCTGTTACCGTGGCGATGGTGGCACCCACTGTGTCTGGTCCCTCTCTCAGCACTGTGATGTACTCCTCTTCAGGAAACTCTGGAGCATTATCGTTTTCATCCACAATGTGAACATAGATGGTAGTTGAGGCCTGCATGAGAAACAAAGATACACGAGAAAACCTTTACAGCTGTATTTACTGTGTATTGCTATTTGAAGGAAAATCACTTCAAACACACCAAGTCAGCTGGTCCCGAGTTTTAATCACCCTTTATTTTACAATAACTTTCTTGTCACTTTCTCTAAGCACTTGCTTTTTTGCCACTTCATGGTGCAGTCACCCCAACTTCTTTATACATTGTTCATTCCCAGTGTGATTAATAAGGTTTTCTGCCGCACAGGAGACATACTGTGGTCTTCATTTATGATGGGGATATGCATATGACATTACATTTGATATTCAGGATCCATTTAACATGAGAGAATGAGACAACACAGTTAAAGAGTAAGAATTTGTTACAGACAGAAAGACAAAGAGCCTGAGAGAATCCAAAGGAAATCTCAGGAGTGGGTGAGATGGAGAGATAACGTTACATGGCCAAAAACTCTATTTCCATTTCACCTATTCAGTCTGGGAAGCTAAGTAAAATCTAAACCACTGACAGACACTGACATGTAAGAAAAGTAATGATATCAAATGAAAGTAAGAGTTGACTGTGGAATCAGTTCACTATCTTGTTATTTCTGCATGAGCAGTGGGTTTGTGTTAGAGAAAGATCAAAATTTACTAGAACAACAAATAAATTAGAGTTGAAGACTAAAACACACTGTTTATTCAAACGTCACATCAGCTTTATCTAATGTATGCTATGAAATGTAATGTTAATACACAGAAACCCTTTTAATTTGGCAATAACAGCCAAGCTGAACAGTACATGATAAGCAGTTAGGCCTACTGGTCAGGCGAGTACTGGGTCTGTGAAACCACTTTTATAACGTCTTCTCTGAGCTTGTCAAGTCTGAGAAAATATCCTTTGTGATGCTATCGATATAATCTCTGCTTAAAAAAAGTCTAATTATAAATGAAAGGCCTTTGTTACAAACTGGATGCGTTGTATTTGCAAACTATGGGTGTTTATCAGATGAATTAAAGACTTTATGAGTTGCATTATGAGAAATGTAAGATTAAGTTACCCATACTAAAGACTGATGTTAGCATATTTCTAGCTTTGCTTGATACAACCTGTGAACTATACATGTATTTAAATATTTCTGATGACAGATGTTTCCTCACTTGTCATCCTTTTGGGGGTGGGAGCACAGAGGTGGGGAGGAGCGCGTATCATGTTGCTTTTTCCTGCTGCAAACTTCGCTTCAAGTTGGACAGAAACAAGCAAGAGACCTGTCACTTCTCTGTGTTTTGACATAAAGTTGAGAGTATTACTGAAGAGAAAACGAGTTGAACAAAGGCCGCTTGTAGAAGTAGCTTATTCCATCGCGAGTCGAACACTTTATGCATTTTTTTTTTGTTGTTGTTTGACATCAAATCGCGAGTCGAACACTTTATGCATTTTGTTGTTGTTTGACATCAGGACAACCATGAAAGGGGGATTACTCTATCGGACATCAGTTTGGGAGAAGAAATGCGTGTTTTGGATTTGCTCTGTCCTGTTTTCAATAGCTGGAGGTAAGCAAGAACAAACACCCTGACATCCATGCTCTTCCTCTTTAACTGACGGACAAGACCTTCCCGGGCGAGTACCAGCTTGTTGACACACTCTTTTAGTCACAAATCATCTGACTTTAGTCCGCTGGTGGAAAACAATCAACCCTACTGTACATTGTGGATAAAAGCAAAAGACAGGCGCTAAGAAATATGTAGGTGCGGTGTTTTTAAGTTGACAAAGTTGGCTGTTGCGCTCCAATACGAGCTGGATGTGAAGGAAGGGTTAGCCTGCTTATTTTACGTGGTCTAAGTGAACTATGGCCCTGACTTAAACCGTGATATTCCCATTATATCTGCTTACAAGTATAAGCTCTTAGTAACCTATATGTTTAATACGCGGCCATGAAACATTTTAAACCTAATTTTGTCGTGTATTTCAGAAACAGCTGCACAGATAGGCAGCGTCTAATATTTAATTGACAACATACATGCCTGTCGCCTCTTTATCTGTTTGTTGCTTTCGTGTAGACAGAAAACATCTGGTGTGAAACTGTTCTAATGGTAGAGGCAGTGAAGTGTAAATCCACCATAAAGTCAAAAGTGGCAGCAGGGAACACGCCTGTGGATGATGACCTAACGGACCGGTCATTTCTTCTCCACGCCAGTTTTTTATGTATTCAGAGGAGCTGTAATTAAAAACAGGATTTTTCTCTCCCATGAGCTTTGGCATGACTTTAGGTTTAGGCATCTGACGCGGGAGGAGAGAGGAGAAGCAGCTGCCGCCTCCGGGGCGCAGGGTGCTTCACATCAAACGCCACTGAAACATTGCAGAGGTTATCAGTTTTCAGCTTTAGGATTTGGTCTGTTTAGATAAGCTCACACGATAAGTTTGCCAAAGGCAACGAGGGACGTTTACTTAACTTTTAGCCTGAATCATCCTGGACATGTTTGTTCTGAAATGAGATGTTTGTTCTATTTCAAATAGAAAAGATTAAAAACTAATCTGTTGTATGGTTTTTAAGTCTGGAATTATGTCTGCAGGGCTGTAAAACTCCCAAGAGTTTCTTTTCTAATCAGTGCCTGTTTTCCTCTCAGTTTGGACTGCTCCCTATCTGTTCTGTGCTGAATGAATAAATCTTTATTAGAATACAGCTAGTATATATGTTTCCTGGGTCAGTACCATTGACAAAAACAGGTCTGACAAGTGAGAGAGAGCCAGTGAGTGTGTTGTGTGGGAAATAGAGAAGGGGGAGCCCCTTTGTTCTTCTCTGATGGTTCTGGGTATGGCCTTTTAACAGCTGTAACTAAAATGTCAGTGTCTGATATTTAATATGTAGCAAGTCTGACACAAAAAAAAATCTCCATACGCAAGCAGCCTCCACACTGGGGACTCTGGGAACAGCCAAGGATGGAGAGCCTTGACTCTACTCTAGTGACAGCAACAAAAACATCATCCTACTGTGCTTCACTGTACTCCTAGTACAGATAGGAGATATTTAATTACAATAGAAACATATTAAATACTTACAGTATGAAAAGCATTTAAAATTGGAAAGACCAAAAAAAAGAGAGGAAATGGGCAAACTAGACAAAAAATAATGAACTCTGTAAAACTTATGTAATGATTGAACTTTTATTGTTTCAAAAGGCCCTTTAACATTTTCAAAATGATAGTTAAATGAGGTAACAATGTTGCAATTATGTGTGAGCGTTTAGCCACATAGTTAAAATTACAATGTAACTTTAGAGGAAATGAAGGTTGAGACTGAATGTTGATCACAAAATAAGAAAAGCACAGCAAATTATTATATTCATTCTTGGATCCCTGAAAATTATGACCTGTGTCAATGACCTGTAAGTGTTTCATTTTGTGACTAAGTATCTGTCTGATGTGCCAAGCTTTCACACTTCCTGCTGCTGAGAAGATGCCTAATGCAACTGCAAGTTTCATCTGAAACTCTCTCATCTGTGAGAGTGTGTGTGTGTGTGTGTGTGTGTGTGTGTGTGTGTGGAGAGGCTAATTCTCCTGCTGGTTTCATTAACACCATGTAACGGGTTGATTATCATTACCATTACAGTAGGTGTGAAATGGGTGGGGTTTGAGGTGCATGTGTGTGTGGGTAAGCAACCCTTGTACAAACACAGGTAGAGAGTTTGTGCAAATCAAAGGATACCAGATCTACCAGTAGACCGTGTTTAATTTAGCTTTTTTTGTATTAGCACCCCATTAATGCAGAACAGTAATACAAATACTGCATACTCAGCAGAAAAAGTAGCTGAAGTTGGCAGAAATGAAGATGTGTAATACCCAAAATCTATGCTGATGTGAATACTAAAGAAAGCTGTCAGAGGTAACATCTCTCACACAGGTGGCATTCAGGCTTAAAACAAAGGCAGGCCTGTTTCTGGACCCTCAGGGGCCATCAAGATCCCGAGATCAGAGAAGGATCTATAATAGAGCCCAATGACAGTTGTCTGTTGTGTACAAGTGAAAAAAAATCCTGTTAGTTCCGCACACAGTGCAAACCTTGCTGTCTGTTTTTACCTGGCTGCAACCACATCAAGACAGCTCTGAGAGTGCTGACACAGTAGTAACACCACCCACCTGGCACCTGAGATGGTACAACAAATGATACTCATTGTCTCCAAATACTCCTCTCTAAAGGTCATATCTTGTGAGTAAGCCATATGTGATTTCCTATATATTTGTTGTGTACAGTAGTGCTATATAGCTGACAGGTTTTGGCTGTCTAATCTAAAAACATCATGGTTCAGTTTTAAAGTATATTAAACATATTTTACAACAAAAATACTCTCTCTACTTTGCCAGAAACCCTTCTCCAATAGTGTACAGGAAAAAGTGTGGAAGAGTTGCCAAAAAGAAGGGCAAGGAGGAAGGCATGGTGGGTGTGAAACAGGAGAGGGGAAGTCCTTCCCCTCTTATTGTCCCACCACAGTAGCAGGAACAGCTGCCGGGGCAACATTTTCACTTTAATCAACCACTCTGCTCTTCCTATTGCTTTTCTCAACATACAATGGCTGGTACAGAGTTCAGCCACAAACACAGGAACATGGCATTTAAATGGCACTCTGTGACACAAACACAGGATGCACATGTACTGTATATGCAAAGCTAATCGGAAAGCAAAGGACGCTGACTGATGTGCTACTGTAGTTCCTGTTCAGTGTAAACTGACTACTTAACACTGATAGTGACATTTAGACAAGCAATTGTTGTGCTTCCTCATCTATGTTCTAACTGACCCAAAAGGCATGGTTATACTGCTGCCCTCTCAAAAGTAGTGGCAGTGCATTAAAAAACAGACAAAAAAAAATAAAAAAAAATCAGTTTTCACATTGGCAACAACTCCTGCAGTGACATCATTGTTGTTGGTAGGGGTGCACCCTGCTTGAAGTGTTTAGCCCATAAAGAGTTATGCAGCAGCAGCAGCTTTCTAACTCGCCTTCAAACAAGTTTCTGAGTAGTGAGGAGGAGGAGGAGGAGCTGTATTTGTTTTCTCGGACAAGTCAGAAAGGAAGTCCACTCCTCAAATCTTGACACTGATCATTTACCCTCCAAACATACACACACACACACACACACACACTGTAAAAATTTCTGCATGCATCAATACACAGTTGCACATATACTTCTTTTTCATGGCAATCCACCCCCACACATGCTTGACACACTCCCATGCAACCTTCCTGTCAACTCTGCAGCACTTAGCACTTGGGGGTGCATTTTATAGATTATACTGGGCCAGCGTTGTTTTTGTTGGTGAGGTGTAGATAGTGGCTCCATGACGGCTTAGATCAAGGATACCGTTATTTTGTTGTGTTACTACAATGAAATAACCATTCAGAGCACACATTAAAGATTTTATATATGTGTGCATTCCATTGCTGCAGTAAAGTCTTAACAGGATGTGGTTGAAGGCAATATTGTGGCATGTGAGAGTGAGAGAGCGGTTTATGCAATACGCAGCAAGTCACAGCTGTCTTTTTGATTTCCTGAATGTTCATACAAGGTACGTGTCAGAGAATCTGTGTCCGTGTGCAGTCTTCTGAGAAATAATGGGCTGTTTCACTGCAGTCACTGGGTAATGATACCAGCCAGCAACAAAACATCAGTCTGATTTCTACAAGTCTGATGGCAAAACAGATGTCACATTAGATCATATATGCATTGGTTAGTGTCTCGCTGTGGCTGTCTGAAAGGATCAAACAACTGTAACATCCAGAGGAGGATAGTGTATTTAGTTTAACCAGCAGACTGTGTACTATCTCTAACCACAGTACAAATATACAGAAGAGGATACAAACTGTGCTGACCTCAAAGGCAAAAAAAAAAAACTAAACTAAACAAACAACCAAACAAAAAAAAAAAAAAAAAAAAAAAAGGAAGCATGGTGACGGGCGACCTGGCCAGGATGTACCCCCGCCTCTCGCCCAGTGTCAGCTGGAATTAGTTCCAACCCCCCACAACCCTCTTCAGGATAAGTGGTATAGATAATGAATGGATGGATGGATGGATGGATGCGAGGTGTGTGGATTTTTGCTGGATTTTAAATCCATGTGGTGATTGGTAATTGCTATAATTAGTTGTTGCACTGTGGTTATCTGTATTATATGAATAAAGCTATTCAAAAAATCTAGAATGTAGCAATTTACATACATTAGCATAAATGATCTAAATTACTTATATTTATTCCTTTAAATTTGTGTTCCCTAGGTTGAGCTTGTCAGGCACATTCTGTAGTTTTCTCATATAAATCCCATCTCTTCCACTGGGATTGGCAGAATTTAACCCTAATCACAGCCATATCCCAAAATGTTATCATCTCTAACTTAAACCTTTGACTGGTAGAGGTTGTTTGTGATGGTATCTATAGCCAGGGACATATGCCTGTCTGAAAAATACAACTCAGGGAACAAATGTTGCTGATCTACTACATGTATTGCCTATATTCTTCCATATGTGTTGTCTCTCCAGCTACAGGTGAGATGTCCCATGGCCACTCCACAATAAGCGTTTCTGCTCCTCACCTGTACTACAGCTGTCCTGAGGGCGCAACTGTCAGAATGATGTGTACCCAGAGTGGTGCTGCCTTGCACTCCAGCGATATCGTAAAGCGCATTTGGCTCTTCACACCCCACAGTGACAAGCACTGTGTGAGACACCAGGGCCCACGTAATACCAACATCATTCATCATTCCCATGCCAATCACAGCTTTCCACCAGGGATGCATTATGAGCGTAAAGGGCAGAACTTCTGGGTGGTTCTGGAGAACGTGACCGGTGCTGACCAGGGTCGCTACTGCTGTGAGATCCTGGACGTACAGGTGGAAAATAAACATCCTTCCATCGTTGACAAAACTCACAGCCACGTTATCCTCCAAATTACACCACGTAAGGACATGAAATGTATTACTGTGAAGCCTTAAGTTAGTATATGGTAAACTCAAAGGGGAAGAGGTTAATTCAGTGTCCTATGCAAGCTGTTACTGTAAGTAGGGCAAGTTGATGGTTAGTTTCCTTTTGTCTGTGTGATGTGGTCTATGAAATCTCATTGTGGCCTTCAACTTTGTGCCTAAATGTCACACACTATGGTGAATAGCATCTGTTGCATTTAACAGGAAAAACCAACATCAGTGCTACATTGTAATATACTGTGTATAGTCAATGCATTTGCTCTCTTTCTAGGGAGAAATGGCTCTCAAGATTGCACTGTCTGGGATCCCGCCCCATCAGGTAGTATGTCACTTTATTCAAGGCTTCATAGCCAATGAATGATGGGCCAGTTATTCCATTTATTTAACTCACAGTCTCTGTTGCTTCCCCAGGCTCTGCGCCAGTGGCCCTGGCTGTAGCAGCATGCATCTTGGCTCTGCTCTTCCTGCCTCTTATTCTGGTGCTTGTGTACAAACAGAGGCAGAGTGCACAGACAAACAGACGTATGTATTACTGGGCGCGCACACGCATTTTAAGTTCCATGTCCATGCTGCGGGTCAAGTCAGCTGTCATGACCAATATTGTTTTTGTCTGACCTGTTTTTGTCTGACCACTGAGTCAGTGAGGTAGATTAAGAGTATTTCATACAGTAGGAAGCACATTCATGCTATATCCGTTTCAGTTCATTCACAATAGCCCGTTTCCTCTCTCCCAGGTGCACAAGAGCTGGTGAGGATGGACAGGTAGGTTTTCCCACAGTCAGTCAGGCAGCTGATCTCACAGAGCAGCTTCAAAACACAGCTTCTCTTGAGAATAATAACACTGTTTACATGGATATTCTACTACTGTCTGTAGTGGCCACAACATTTCTGCCAAATTCCCTAATCATACTATAATGCATTACAACTAAAGTCCTATGAACTTTTACTTGTTCAAGAGCTACAAACAGCTTAAAAACACAAATAAACCATTACCATGTTCATTTACATAACCTACTGTGCAACAAAAAGGACCTCTGCCCAGAACACCGGCAGTGTGTCATGCCCATTGCTTGGTTATTTTAAGATAAGGTGCATTCTATGCACGTATACAGGCTATTAAAACAACATTCTACATGAGTCTGCATGATTTATAAATTATAAACCATTTTGGTATAGTAGTAAATGTTCATTTCTGAACAACAAACATCAAGTATTAAAGCCTTGAATACTGCTAGAGCACAAACATGACAGACATATACCTTCAAAATGTCTTGAGCAACAGATGAGTGTTGTAACAGTTTGCTTTGCCATGCCAGCATTTCTTACTAATCTATATACTTGTCTTTCTTGTGTCTGTATGTTTGTCAGTGGCCACGAGAACCCAGTGTTTCTTGGGGGATCACCACAGACTAAAACCCGTACCGTTTCTCAGATCATGACCAGACAGGCTTCTGAGACAGGACGCCACCTGTTGTCTGAGCCAGGAACCCCCCTTTCTCCTCCTGCATACGTATTCTTTCCAGTAGAAGGTAGGACACAAACACACACAAAACTATACATCATGACAACACAAAAGCAACTCAAACTACTGTGTGCCCAATATTCAGGTCAAGACACTGAAAGGGACAAAAAGTAGGACAGGACACAATAGTCATCTACTGATTAAAGCTAATTATTAAACAATATAAAAACTACTAAATCACTCAGCACACACTGGGAAATACTGATATCTCACCCACTCTTCACTGTGCCCTTTAGCCTGAGTCAAACCTCCCTTGGACCAGCACCATAACACAAAGAAAGCTGAGTATGAGTTATCTCACTTTTACAGGAGTTCATTTACATGGCTGCCTTTCAGTTTAGGAGTGAGTGTGCACTATATCCACTGATAATACATGCCTTATTAACTACATTCTGAACCTGACTCCCTTCATATTCACACTCGATACTCATATGACGCAAAAAAAAGCACGCAAGTAGTGACAGCTAACTGCATTACGCAAAGACAGTTTTGGAAATGGTATTGCAAAATGTAGCGTCAGTTTGGTAAAAGACTGATGCAACAGAAGAACATCCATGACTGTGTGTACTTCAGCTGAAACACCCTGCATTTGGGGGAAGTGTTGGTGTACAGTGTTCACATTTTTGTGAGAGACTGCACGCTCACACTCAAAACAGCTGGGTTGAGATGACGTGGTTAAGAAAAGATGTTTTCCTTAGGAAGCTTAATTTCTCTTACCCATACAAATGCATCCACCTCCTTTTGCTGTCATCTGCTGAAAACTTGTGCCTCCCTCGCACGTTGTCCTCTACCCAACAGTGCTCTTATTTAACACTAATGGCCTCTCTGCCTTTCTGTCAGACTCGAGCTGAAATAATACTGAAAATTTAGTTACGGTGAAGGGGTTCAATCGGACTGTTTTTCTACTGATTCCCAGGACACCTGTGCAGACATTCCAGACATACTGAGGCAGATTGCCCTGTTTCCTGGCAGCACACACTCACAAAGGACAGAAGTGTTACTTCTATTCCGTGAGCAATCATGCACGGTCTCGTAAACACTCAAAGTCTCAAACTCTCATAAAAAAGTCTTAAACATGGAAACTTTTGTTTTTCCGTCTACTACAACCGACAAATATAAGTATAAGATAAAACTGGATCACTCCCACTAACTGAGATGCTGCAGTTTCAGCTCATGTACCCATACTGAATTCTGGTAATAGGTAATGTCATTAGCAGGAAAACCTCTGCTTATTGTAAGTGACAGATGGAAACTTCCACTGCTTGATGACATCTCAGATTACAGCTATTATTTCTCCTCTGGAGAGAGACAAATACTGATAAAACCATGACAATTTCTACAAAAAAAAAATAAAAATAAATCTTTTACATTTGTTAACATGGATTTTCCCTGCCAAAGCTCATTTCCTTTACAGTTACACAAGTTTAGGTTTCTTGTCTGAGGTTTCATGTTATGTGGATAAAAGCCAAATGTCAGCTTTCTTCTTCATCTTTTTTGGCTAGCTGACCTTAAGCTGAGTGGAATTGAACTAGCAGCAGTTCCCTTTTATCTTTAACATGTCGCAACTGAGAGTTAAGGCCTCTTTGTTCCGCTTTTACATGTATTTTCAAGTAAACTTATTCTGTGAAATCTATCAGTCTCTGTCTGTGTTTGTACTATTCTAAAATGTAGAAGGTGTGTATTTTAGGCAGGAAGTGCAATTTTGAATGTCCAAACGTTCTACTACAGTGTCTATAAAAGTATGCACTCCCTTGGATATTTTACCCTTTTATTGATTTTATAAATCATAGTCAATATAATTTGGCTTTTTTGACAAAAAAATTACAAAAAACCCTCTTTAATATCAAAATGAAAACAAAGTAATGTCAGTTAAATAAAAATATGTAATGGGAAATAAGTGATTGCATAAATATTCACCCCTTTTAAAATGACTGACCTAAATCAGCCAGTTGGTGCTGGTAGTCTCACAGTTAGTGAAAAGGGGATCACCTGAGTGCAGTGAATGTGTCTCAAGTGATTGTAGTATTAAGACACTTGTGTCTGGAAGGTCCAGCCACTGGCTAATCACTATTCCTGGATACCATTACACCATGAAGACAGAATAACACTCCAAGCAACTCAGAGAAAAGGTTATTGAAAATCAATAACAGGGTAAAACATTCAAGGGGGTGAATACTTTTTATAGGCACTGTATGTAAATTTCCCCATCAGCACAAAAACAAATATGTATTTGTGTATCTTGATACATTGTGATTACCTGGTATCATGTCTGTGCCCTCACTGTCTTGTTCTTTTCTCTGTTCTAGACGTCATTCCTGAGTCTCCAGACCTCCAGCAAGTTTAAAGGTGGATGAAGCCTATTCAACATCCTAACTGCTGTCCTGGAAACAGTCCAGCAGCTCTCTCTCTTCTCTGTATCTCCATTGTGATGCTGTCCTTATCAGCTAACATTAACCTCTGCAGGAACTGTCATCTATACATTGTCTGGACCGCAGGAGGGAGCGTACTTTTATTTTAAACGATTTACATCTACAACAATTGCTGGAAGGTCTAAAGCGAACCTTTGCTTGTGAGCACTTGTGGCAGGTTCTGGGTTTGTGATGTTCCATTTAACGTTGACAACAGCTCATGGACCAACAGGTGCCCTAGTCTGGTGGTGCCTGCTGACTGACACGAACACAAAGTGTCGGGGGTCCAGGCCATGTGCAGGGGTGGCGTGTTAAGATGCAGTTTCTGTGGACCTTAAGGTCTAGGTTTTTTCACACCTAATACATTTGATGCAGTTCAATAAAAAGGTGCATTTATTGTTTGGCTCTTTTAGGCTGGTGTGCACTCTAATTCCAAACAACAAAAGCCAAAGAACTGCACTGCACACCGCCTTGTTTTTGTCTACTGTCAAACTGAACTGTGGTGCAGTTTGTGGTGTGAACACAAAGCAGACTAACCACATGATACCATAGTAAATATACAACAATAGTGTGATTAAAAAAAAAAAAAAACACTATTAAACTGAGATGATCCATTTGCTGTTTGTGGGAAATGGCATATAATGACAAGATTTAATGGTAACAAGGTATGGACCTCAGCACGTGAGTGCAGGAATATTACATTACAATTAAGGAAGTGAAGAGAACCTAAAACAGAAGTGTGTGGTGCTTGCGTGCTGCTCTGTGTAGTTTGACACTTCCCCATTAAATGGTACATAGTGATAACACACCGAGAGCATCCACTGATCACATCAGGTGCCCCCCCCCACAAACACATTTGAACCGTAGGTGCGAAATAGAGCTGAGGCTCTCTCTTATCCCTGTCATTGTAATAAAGTGCTCTAATAGCTTCACACCAAAGCTTCAGTCATCTGAGAAGTTCCAATATTCTTGTACAGTAATTGTACAGCTGACAGTAATTCGTTGTTATGGCATTACACTGTCTCTCTGTATCATTTTTACTTGGCCTCGGCTTCTTTTTTCTTCCCACCTTGCTACTTCAGTTACTGTCAGCTCTGTTACTCTAAATGCTGTCCTTCCTTCTTGTGCTCTCAGAAATGCAGCACTTCACAGTGGCCATATCTATATTCATAAAGTGCTGAAAATTGCAGTCAACGCAGTGTTTAGGGGGCAAAAATTCTTCTTCTTTTTTTTAAATAGTTGATACTTGTCATTCATGCTCATGTACAGTTTAATAATTAAGAGTAAAATGTTTAATGATTTTCTTCTGAATGTAGCCTAAGAGATTGTTTTATTAAAAGAAAAACACCAGCATAAAACTTCCATCCAAGATGTTGATGGTGAGGGACTGATCTGTTTTGTAAATAGTTTTGTTGTTTTTTAAATTTTTGTTGGGACTTGTATATTAGTATTTTTTCCTGTTTTTTGTGTGTGTGAGAAGGAATGACTTTAACCAAAGACTATTCACACAAAATAAAAGAAAGGGAAAGGAATTGTAAGTGATTGCAATATTGATGCAACATTGTGTATGATTATGCAAAACCACTGGTGGTTTTTCCACAGTGAGGTAAAATGTGTACCGATGGCACATAACGGAAGTCATCTTTTGATGCACAGTAGGTGTACAGGACGGGGTATTGCAGATAACATGTTCTGTTGTTTTTTTCTTGTTGGAAGATTTTAATTCTTTGGACAGTCAGTGTTTGAGTATTTGTGTTTTCAATTGTGTCTGTATGTGCCCATCTTTCTATGGTTGTGTGGACCAATTTTAGTAATAATAACATTATTGTGTGAAGATTTTGCCATTGTGAGGACATTTTGGTCCTCACAACTTGAAAGGCTGTTTGGGGGTTAAGACTTTGTTTTAGGGCTCAGGTTGGAATTAAAACTGAGTATACGGTTTAGGTTAGGGTAGGGGATAGGAATTTAGTTATGATGGTTAAGGGAAGGGTAAGTGGCTATGATATGCACTATGTCAATGAGTGTCCTCACAACTACAGTATAAAGAGACCAAAGTGTGTGTGTGTGTGTGTGTGTGTGTGTGTGTGTGTGTGTGTGTATGCGTGTTTTCAAATTTGTTACACTTTCAAAAAAATAACTGTGGTGTGGTTTATACGTCTGTGCATGCATACTGTATTGCACACAACTTTGTAAATTCTGTTTGTGTGTTATACTATAAAAGGCTTGTACATATTTTGCATTTGAAAATAGTCCTGGCTGTAGCTTTTATAATAAAATGGAACCTTAAAGCTTAAAGCCTTGTGTCTAATCTTTGAAATCAGTGTTCCTTGCAACTGGCAGGTCTCCAAAACTATCAAGGACTACAAGGACGTGCTGCACTTGCTGCCGAGGGAGTTATTATAGATGGAACAAGGGTGTTCCACTTCTGTGCCTTTAAGCTGGTGCACATCAGAGGGAGTCTGCCATTAAGAAGACAAAATGATAAAACAATCTTAGTATCTTGTTTTATGAGAAAAGAGCCTTTAAATGGGAGGAAGGAGGTTTGGTGCTGACCATGTCTGGTCTACAGTGTTATTTCTAGTTTTCTTGTATTAACAAGAGCCATATCATTATAGTTTGTACCTGTTACATCCTACTGTGGGCCCTAGACTTGCTAGGTTAAAAAAAAAAAAAGGCCACTTAACAGTACAACTGTCAACATGACACCTATAGTACATATACTTCTCTCTGAACACAATAAACGAGCCATTTAAATGTTGTCAACATCAAAACAGGAAAAGCAACACATACACCTTTTTTTCTTTTTGGAGATGTGACCTTCCTGTTTACAAAAGGTGTTTCCTGTGGCTTCGCAGCTGATCAGCTAACACAGAAGATAAACCAACCACTGTATTTGATTTATTGTTTGGGCTGTTTGAACCATGTTGTCTTACTATGCTCCATATTTGATTTATACTGTACCCTGGATTAAGGCAGGTAAATAAGGAGGCAGAATCCCCAGAACAGGTGCATCTGTCAGTTTGTAGTGGACTGATTGTCCACAACAGAGCCCTCTTCTGGTCATAAGATGTGCTTGTGAAAGATGAAGAAGACCCACCAACTGACTCAGATTTGATTTTCACCATTTTGTAAAGGTTACTGTGTCATACTGCCAAATATATGTTTAAAAAGAAATTATTTTAAATCATAAAATGACGCACTGACATTACAATGACTAACACAACAATACAAAGTATTTAGGACTTAATTGAAATAATTTGATAAGTTGGGATAGATTTACCGACAGAGGCGGCGTCCCATCATCTTCCACAGTGACAGTGAGTTGGTACTCTTGTTGGCGCTCTCGGTCAGGAGGGGCTGGCCGTGTCACCATCTCTCCTGTCACACGGTCCATGCGGAACGTCAGGTCTTGGTTTCCAGCGGTTATGTAGTAAAACAGCATGGCGTTGGGACCGATATCTCGATCAGTAGCTGTCACTCGGAGGACTGACGTACCTCCTCCGACATTCTGCAATTTAAATAAAAAAAGGAGCCCCATTATTGATTGCCTACAGTGGAATAGATGGAAACCTGTGACAAAATAGTTAAATATTATTCTGAAACTAAAAATCACTAATTATACCAGTAACATTATTCAGCTTTTGTTCAAGATACATACAAAATTATTAAAACATGCAAATTTGACAGCAAATCATGTGTGGACAAAACACTGAACAACACGCTCCATGGGATGTGAGTGTGTTGTGCCCACCTCGCTTATGCTGACATTGTAGCCTCTCTGGCTTTCAATAACAGGTGCATTGTCATTGACATCCAAGATGTTGATGGTGAGGGACTGATCTGTTTGCCTGGGAGGTGACCCATTGTCAGTGGCACGCACCTGTAACAACATACACGTACTGACTATGTATGTACACACACAGCATACAGTCACATAGGGGACAAGGTGAGATCAAATGTATGCACGTCTTCCTCAGCACTTGGTTAGAAATATACCGCACATTCAGGGTTGGTAGTTCTGTGCAATAGTGTAGGATGTAGTGTGAGTTCCTCTCTAATATTTCAATATCAGATAAGTTCCAAACCTAAAAAATGGCCACAGATATCATACAATAAAATAAGTGTGACATGTAAGCAGTTTATTTTTGTTCTGAGATTAGATATTGAGTCAGGGTAGATGTAGGAAAGAGTTATATGTCCATAGAGGTATGTAGTGAAAGATGTCATAACTACAGGTGGATTTGCTGCCTAACCTTCAAAAGGTAGCGGTCTACTGACTCTCTGTCCAGGGGAGCATTGACATAAACCTCTCCATATGTGTGGTTCACTGTCTTGATCTTGAACACATCCTCCATGTTGCCTGCCACCAAACTGAAATTGACCTGAAAGTGAGAAATGAGGCAAAATATGACAAAGATAAAGGGGGAGAGACAGAGTGAAGGAATAAAAATGCCACATCAGCTTTCAGTTCAATCAGAAACTCTGATCATAAAGTTACTCATAATGTGTGAATAGTTGAATAACTGTATTTGGCTGTCTAGGTTCTAAGTCTCGAATAAATCACACCACATACTAAAGAATCAAGGAGACGCACAACTGAGACCTCCGTGAAGCAAAAGAAAGAAGATTAAATAAATAGACAAGGAATGCCACTGAAAAATGTTATAGAGGCCTGTCTTTTTGGTGATGATTGTATGGTGTTGCTCACGTTTTTAAAGGTATTAGATTAATTGATTGTTTGCTGTTCAAGAGCCATAGATACTGTACGATCTTTAAAACTAATATTTTTCTTTCTGTCTGAGTAGGTAAATTTATTTCCTTTTTGTCATTGTTCTCACCAGTCCATTCAATCCAGCATCTTTGTCCCTTCCAGCCACTAGTGCCACTCTTCTCCCGATGGGTGTGTTTTCTAGGATGCTCACTGAAGTATCAGATGTGATGTCAAACTCTGGACTGTTGTCATTCTCATCCAGAATGGTGATTGAAACCTGTTGAGAGGCAAGATCAAATGTGGTCTCTATCACACACCACTTAAATTATACTTACCTTTGGAATTAATTCAGCCAAGACACGAGACCAAAAATCAAGATTTATTTAACCAGAAAAATGTCAGTGAGATTAAAAATGTCTTCTTCAAGAATGTCTTATAGAAGAACACAGTTCATACTGTCCTTTGAGGTCTATAAAAACAAGTCTTACCTTCTACAGTCCCATTGAGATGCATAGAATAAAAGAGGAATGTCATTAGGTTTTCTATAACAAAACAGATACATAAACATATACTGTAATAAATTAAAACTGCACATGAAAAAGAAAGGTAGGGCTTAAATAACTAAATGCATAGTGAAGCATCATACCACAGTGGAGTCCTTTTTAGGTCCTCCATCATCAGCCACAACAGTCAAGGTGTACATATCCCCCTTCTCTCTGTCCAGCAGGCCTGTCACTGTGATACGGCCCTGAAACATCAAACACATCAGCATGCATCCCCGCCTCCATAAAGATTCCATGCAAAACAATAATCTTCCCAATGTGACAGACAGGAAGAAAGTCTAGCAAGTATCATAAAAATCAAAAATTTCAAAAAGTCACCATTTTTCTTCTATCAAAGGAATCAAATGACTTCAAAGCAAATAAGCTCTTTGATCAGCTTACAGTCATGAGGCAACAAGAGCATTAGCTGAAATCACAGTGGAAGAGGTGTTACTGAATCACGCTGTGATTAATGGATGAAATATATTAGACCGAAGGTGGACGTAGTCTTTGAAGTGTACAAACAAGAGACATGTACATTGTGTTCATCTCTTCAGTGAGCTCCTCCACTGCTCCCTCACTCACCGTGACACTGTCTATCTTGAAGAGGGCCAGAGCTGCAGGTGACGTATCAGGGTCAAAGCGATAAGTCAGCTGGTTCAAGTTGTCGGCTGACTGGGCCCGCACCTGGACAACCTCTGTCCCCGTGGCGATGTTCTCACGTAGCGAAGCCTCATAACTGGCAGAGAGGAAGGCCACGGCCTCATCCAGCTCATTAAGTAATGTCACATAGACGGTGCAGAAGCCTCGGTGGAAGGGTGGAGCCTGGTCAGTGGCCGAGACATTCATCAGGTAGGTGGTCTTGGTCTCGTAGTCCAGATAGTCTACAGTGGTAACCAGGCCGGTGCTTATGTCTACCTCAAACTTGCGATCCGAGCCAGAAACAATGGCGTAAGCCACAGCTCCACCATCACCTGAACAAGAGACAAGTAGGAATGGGGTAGGTGGTAATAATGACTAATAATGACTTCAAAACTTGTTTTTTCTTAAACTGTTGTGAGAGTTTCCGGTAGCTGCTAGGATACAGTAATTAATTTGGAAATCTTGAAACACTGTTACACTGAAGCTATAGATACATGCAAGCAGCTTCCTCAATTCTGTGTTATGTTCAGCAGCTGTTGACACTCTTCACTGTTGCCTTTGTTGGGTTTATTTCAGTTTCTGGCCTGCTGTAATGCTTTGGAATATGTATGTAATAGCACCAGAATCCCTTTACACCAGGGGAAGTGAATAGAGGAAGTTTGAACTGTGGAGCAGAAGTGTGATATAACAAGAAACAAAAAAAGGTCTGTTAAAAGGCTCTTTCTGTTTATGGTAAAACTCAGGGATACTGAAGGGTTGACAACAAGAACATCTGTTGACTGGTGTGAGATCTGACTTACCCGTGTCAGGGTCTGTGGCCCGCACCACAATCACAGAGGTACCAATGCCAGCGGTCTCTCTAAGGCCCAGACGGTTGTATTGTTGCTGGGTAAACACTGGCACTTCGTCATTGGCATCATCCACATATATGATCACCTGCAGGGGAAGACATGCACATCAACTATACCCTGACCTGCTGACCTCCAATAAATAGATTAATGGAATCCTGCT